TTAATGTTATTATGTAATTCTGGTGAGTTTGAAGTGAAAATTTGTTTTAGTTATTTAGAGATATGTTGTTGAAAAAGGTGACATGGTTGCTAGATTTTGAATAACTCGCTTTTTTGGCAGTCCTGATTTGGCCTCTTTCCATTTGTTTATTACTGTTTGTTCTAGTTGCAAGCTGTGCACCATCTTACGTTAGTGTTAACACTTTTAGCATTGTAAACACAAGTAATAAGTAATCAAATACCTCATTTGCAAGAATCTGAAGACACAATGATACTAAATGGCTTTAAAATACAACGGAAACAGTAACCCGGAAATTTAGACGGTATCGAGCTTGCAGCGTTCCCTATAGTGTAGAAAACACCATCCATACAGTTTACAGCTCTAAATGTTCCGCCCGAGCATTATTAAATAAACTAAAAAATTATTATCTGTGTGAAAAATGTTTTTTAATTTGCTTAAGAGGTTTCTGATTTAAGGCGAAATACACAAAAAGAGAAATTAACATTATATGGGCTCCAAATTTCCCCCATCTATCTTGATTAAACTATTGGGACTCTATTTTCCAGGTTACGACTACCCTAATCCCATAATTTAATGGTCCAGAACATAAATATAACATAAAAAAAAGAAAATGTTTATTTAAAGAAAGTACGTTTTTGTGAGTGATTTCGTAACTCAATTGTAGTACTAGTCAGCTGGTTACAGAGGTACCCACAATGAGTTACCAAGGAAACAAGTCACCATTACTTAGAATACTTCCCAGTTCCAGAGAAGATTTCCAGCAGAACACCAAAGTCAAGCATCACTGGCTGCGATCAGTAAGCGATTGGGTGACCACTGTGATCAGCCTGCTTATGGACCAAGCGTGCGCGGTATCGGTTCTCGTTAAACTGTTCTGCAGTAAAGTGCTCGATTTCACGCGTAGGCAGTCGGGCTATCAAAGCAGGGGAGTCATTCCCTGAGCAGAGGATCGAAATTGTGATAGCATGTCATCATTTTATTTACGTCTCACTAGAGCCGCGCAATGGGTTGTTCGCTACGGTGTGGGAAACATTCCTGAGGATTATCCGTACCCGTCATCCTTCGGATCATCCTCAGGGATATTTCCCACACCGTAGCGGATAACCAGTAGGAGAATATCATGTAATGTCAAAACAATTATGTATTAAACCTTATCTATTAATCGAGCTTATTTCTAACATGTAATCAGTTAAAACCTTTTTCACATAGAAGGTAATTATATTGATTTAATTATCAAAGAAAATGTGTTCATGCAATAAATTGTTTGAGATTGTTCTTAGCAACTTATTTACATGGCTGGGAAGCACCCCAAGAGTAAGGCTGCTCATGATGAAAAGAGGGATAATAATTTATATATTAATATATGTTGGAAAACTACACCTCCTTCTGAGAAGGAGAAAGATTTCCTTTAATTTTTTTATAAGATTTGTTGCCATCATGTATTTGTTTAATAAATTAATTTTTTTTAATCTTACTTTATTTAAGCTTTTCTTGTATTTTACAAAATAGGTAGTTTTTTTTTTTTAACAGCTATCAATGTTTTACTCCGTAGTCTTGTAATTTTGAACCAAACACATAACAGCTCCTTTATTAAGCATGCATTGGGTCAAACTAGCCTTAGTGGAGGACTTTTTCCCGTATTTTTGTTACATGGAGAGGGAAACTGCTAAAACCTCTCACGGTTAATCTGAGCGCAAGGAAATTCTAACCTTTGATCCATCCATCTACCAGTGAGGATATTTTATGTCAGCACTGTGGACGGTGCTAGCTAAGCTGTTATTGACACTAGGAATGTTTAAAAAATTGTGTTAATAAGAAAATAATATACTTACACAAGTACTAAATTAAAATTTTTTTTACAGCCTACCAAAATGTATATAAATCAAAGGTTTCACAGGATGCATATGTTTCATACTTTGCGAATTTTATTTTTAAAAAAATATACCACTATTCATACAAAATCAAACAAATATATGTTAAGAATTAAGAAAGCAGGCCATATTGTGAAGTCATTTAAAAGGAACTACAAAATGAATTACAGGGATTGTTGAACACAATGTGCAGAGTTCAATCCTAATTTTTTTGATTCTCAAACCAATCTTGATTTTTTTTTGTAGCGTTATACTCATGTTAAAATTAAAAAGATAATTTTGAATCAACATTTCAAGAAAAATGCAAAATTTGAGGAAAAATAAAGTTTTTTTTTTTCCACAAAAGAAAGTGATATTAAGGCTTAAATAGATTGCCGAAAAAAAAGCATTTAAAGTCATTTTCGTAATAAATAATTTTATTTAATTTTCAAATCCATCTCAATTAAAAAAAAAAAATATTGAGTTAAGTTCATGCCAAATTTAAAAACATAATTTTGAATCAACCCTTCAACAGAAAGACGAATGTGAGGAATAATTATGCTTCCTTTAAAAGAAGCGAAAGTTAAAAAAAAAAAAAAAAGTTTTTTTAATTGTAATATAAAGGCTTAAATAGATTGCCGAATAATTGCAAAAACATATTATAAAGTTATTTTCATTATAAATAAATCACATTTATCAATTTCGCTATGAAATGATTTACTCGAATCAGTAAAAGATGTGAATCAACAAGAAATTTGAATCAATAAAGTGGACCGATTCTATTGATTTGAATCTAGATGATTTGTTTTGCTTAAACTCCACAAAGCGGGACAGCCACTGAGGCATTTATTGATGCCAGGCCATACCCGATGAGTTAATGCTTTAAAGAAGCAAGATAAAATTTGTCTTAGAAAATAGCTTATAATTTATATATTTTTTAAAAGCTGTTACATGCAAAGTATAAAGAATCTTATAAAACACAGACTAATGCTCAAACGAAACAAGATAAAAAAATAGCTAATAACGTATGTTTTATTCAATTTATTAAAAATTCTTATATTACACTATCTAAGTTATACATTTTAATGGTGAAAAGAAGCAAGATAACATTGTCAAAATTACTCATAGCTTATTTTTCAATAATGTTTCATTTTAATTATAAAGGACCAACTAAAGCTTCATTTAATGTTTTATAAATATAACAAGATAGAAACATTTAAAAATGTTTAAGCTATACAAGTACACAATTTATACACATAAATAAGACAGCATATCAGTTACAATACATATTTATGCAAATAACAGAATAATTCAATTTTAAAATTGTGTAAACATTTTAAATATTAAAAATTTCTGAACATTATACAGTTTTCAAAACTTGAATTTTCTTCAGAATGTATTTAAATCATATAATTTTAGAATTACGCATTTGAAAACTGGATTTGGAACAATTTCAACCTAAATATTTCAGGTATTTCAATCACTTACAGCAGCTGAAGCTACAAATTTTTACAAGGCTTTTTCAACCCTGATTATTTTAATTCAATATTATTACACTTTAGTATTGATACACTGATTTTTAATAAATTAATTTAAAAATGCATAATTTTTCAATCAATTATTCTATGAACTACTAGAAGTTTTTTTATTTTTTTTATTTGTTAATTGCAACATATAATTTTGACTTGCTTCATTTGCCACCAGAATTCCATAATAAATTCGTATGATCTTGCTTGTTATTTTTCCCAGTTGAAGATTAACAATACGTCAGTTTTTAAATTTTTTTTTTTATTATTTAAAATATTAATAAATAAATAAATAATAATATATTTACAACATATCTGGAATTACATATTTCAATAATGAGCTTTTGTACAGTAATTTCGAAACGGTTCTATTATATATCTATGTGGTCTTTTTGGTCAGTATTATTTTAGATTTTTAAAAATCTTGATTTTAAATTTTAAAAAAATATATAAATGGCAAAATACATAAATATTTTAAGTGACAAACTTGTTGTGCATTTCATATGGTATTGGGGACATACAATGATAATTGTCACATTTTTAAAAAAATAGTAGCTTACACTTTATTATACCTTTGAAGGCTATTTTATTCAAATAATAAAAATTCTTATCTGAAACTAATTAATATACGTTTGAATGCTGCGATGAATAAGATAACATATGTTAATTATCTATTTTGTTCTTTTTTATAGAAAGTAAAACAATGCATTTCGTAAGCAAATGAAATAAGAACGATTGGTAAAATATGACTAACAATTTATATTTTTAAATTATATATTCTACTCAGGGTTGGCAAGTTTTTGACACGTGACGGTTTTTACCGGTTTATACCATGGTTTTTACCGTCATGTCAAAAACCCCACTGTCAAAAACCCATAGTTTTGGTAAAACTGTATTTTTGAGTTTAACTGCTTATAATTTAAAATTAATTCATTTTTGGGCAATAAAATTAGAAAAAAAGTTGTTGAAAGATATTTAAGAACAGATTCTTGCATTTTCCCAACATGATTATATCAAAACATACTATTTGAAGTAAAATATTAGGATACTAAACAAAATTTTCAACATTTCCAAGCATCATTTTGTTTGGCATATTACATTACTGAAGAATGTCAAGTCATTCTTGACTTAGAGTTTGTTAGTAGTTACAAGTTTTGAAAGTTTTGTTTAGCTTATTTCTAATATTTAAGAAATGCCAAATTTTAAATTCTTCTTTTTAGTTCTTGAATTTATTAATAGTTCCAAGCTTTTTTGTTTGTTTGTTTATTTCTAACAATTAAGAAGTGCAAAATTTTGAATCCTTTGCAAATCAAGCTATAATGATAATTGTTTATTTCTAACAATTAAGAAGTGCAAAATTTTGAATCCTTTGCAAATCAAGCTATAATGATAAAAGTAAGTATCACTATTTTCAATAAGTATATTACAATATTTCTATATGAATGTATATCCTTCTATAAGAATACATGTTTATAGTTGCAAAATCAATAGCAATCATTTACAACATTAATTTAACAAGGCAATTATGTGAAAATAATATATTGCCTGCTTTATGCCATAAATTAAAGAAAACAGTAGGTTTTTGACGTTTTTTACCGGTAAAAACACGGTTTTTACCACTGTCATGTCAAAAACCAGTTTTTGACGGCAAAAACCCAACCCTGATTCTACTAATAAAAACTCTTATTTTGAAATAAGTAAAGTAAGCATATTTTAATGCAGTAGTGAACAAAATAAAATTTCTCAAAAATTAATTTAGTTTCAAACATTTCTTTTGTTGGAAGCAGAACAATGCATTTTAATGTATGAAAGTAGCAAGATAACTTATAAATTACGGAAAATATAGCTCACATTTTATAACTTAGCATGTTGTTTTATTTAAATAATAAAAAATTCTAATCTTGAACAAAGTAAATAATACATTTTAATGCTGTCATGAAATTCATAAAACATTTATTTTGTTCCAAACACTTCTTCTTTTGTAAGCGGCTGAACAATGTATAAACCCAAGCGGGACCAAATAAATTGACTTCGAGAGGTATGAAAGGATAAGGAAATATTTTTGTTTGATAATATTCAAAGAGTGTATGACAAACAAACTCGAAATATTCAAGTTTTTAAGGAGTATATTCGATGACGCATGTTGCAAGATCAAATTTTCTTCAGGGACTATGCACTGTAGGTAAAAGCCAAGTGATGACACGATTTTTTATCACAATACTGATTTGGAAATAGGCCACAGATTTTTGCATAGTAATATTTATGAGTAATGAAATGATGGAAGACGGAGTACCTAAATATTTCAAGCAACAAATGTATTATCCATTCAAAATGATTTTGCACACAATTGTCTTTATACTGCTCTTTATTTTACAAATTGTAAAAAACATTATTTTAAACAACTCAATTCATACATTTTAATGTAATGAAGAAACAAGATAGCATAAGTATTTGTCAAAAAAAAAAAAAACACATTATTTTTCAATGCTATTTCATTCAAATAACAAATATTTTATCTTGAATGAACTAAATCATACATTTTAATGTCGCAATGAGCATATTTTGGTATTTATCTGCTAATGTCAATTACAGTCGCCAAAGTATCAAATGGATTATAAACTCGCAATTAAAAAAAAATAAAAATACAGTAAAGGTTTGCTGGTATTGGTTAGGAGTTATACCTTAACTCCTTCTGCAATATATATATATATTTTTTTCTAGTTTCTCACAGGCTACTACCTGTAAATCACCACAACATGACGATTAATTTTACTAAGATACCGATGCAGGAATCCTTGTGCAGAAACAAATATGGTAAAGATTTGTCAAAAAATTATTTCGTTCCAAACACTTCTTCTTTTGTAGGAAGCGGAACGATTCGTGGACCTAATCTGGTCCAAATAAATCCGCTTTCTGGTTTGAGTGGTACAACAGGATAGGGAGACGTTTTCGCCTGGTAATATTCAGAAGGAGCATGACAGACAAATTCAAAATATTCGAGTTTTCGAGGAATATCTTCTTCCGGTCCTATAATGTATGTTGCAGGATCAAATCTGCCTTTGGGACTATGTGTCGTTGGTAAAAGCCAAGTGATGACAGCACTTTTTTCACAATACTGATCCTGTAGTAGGCCCCGGATTTGAGCATAGTAAACTTTATTAGTAATAAAATCCACACAAGAGACAACGTCTCCAACTTGAAAATAAGTTCCTTTAAAAAACATAGCTTCAGCTGTCACGGGGGTAGCTACAGAAGTTGGAGCTTTCAAGCAACACTTTTTAAAAATATTTCGGCGACCTTTTCCTTTCGGATTATTACTCTTAGATTGAGTTTGTTGCTTGAATTTTGAACTCTTCGCTCGAGTGCTTTTTCTCAGAGTAAACGGACAACCATTTCCATTATTTTTGTTATTGCTAATGGTAGATGATCTGACAGAGCAAGAATTACAAACGACTTCATCCTCCTCATTTTTATGCCACATTGTAGAGGATGTAGATTTGCACATCGTGCATTTAGGTTTCAAACCAAACGGCATGTTTTATATGGTAAATTTATTTTGAATCGGAAATAAGAAAATAGACTAAAATCGAAAATACTCGGCGGGTAACTTTATTTGTTTATTGCCTATTTCTGTGCGTCTGTTACTCTTAAAAAATGAGCAACCTGTAAGCCCTGTTGTTACGGTTACATAATCTAAATAATAGAATAGATTTCTCTCCTTCGTTAGGACGGAAAAAGACAACCAGAAGCGTTGTGTTTTTTAAGCAATCAGCCGGCTGAGTTAAGAAATTATAAAATATCAATTTATTTATATTTTAGCGCTTGTTTATAACTTGGTTGTTGTAAATTTCTGACTTAATTTGTTTAATAGTAGATTGTAGTTTTAATCATTAGAATCTAAGAAATCAAGTAAATTTTTATATTTTAAAATCATTGTCATATCAAATTGTCCCACATCGTGATCTTTTGTACCTTATCGAAGATCAGACTTATTTATTTGATTTTGGATAGTTTTTGACGCATCAAAAAAGGCAGAAAAGCATAATTTCTTAACTATCGTTAAAGATAACGATAACAGATGAAATCTTTTCAATTTTATCTGATTGTCGCTGAGCAAAATAATTTACTTTTTGAAGAGAGACATTTAACTCGCATAAAGAGGTTGCATAACGACTGTTGACCGCCCACCGAATTAAGACATTTTAAGTAATTATTTAAATAAAATGTTGCTTAGGAATAGTTTGAAACTCTTTTCAGTGAGTCGATGTATAACATCGCGTCTTGCTTCTAGATCATACGGAATAAGCGAAGAAGATATTGAGAAAATAAAACAATATAAAGAGAGGGTTGAATTGGAAAATAGTGATGCATTAAGAAAAACTTATAAGATGTTGAAAGATGAGTTTTCTAGGTATGCTAAAGGGGATTTCAGTCCTCCCAAATCTAAAATATCGAAATATTCGGAGTATGTGGTGATTGGGGGTGGAATTATGGGATCATCTATAGCTTATTCATTGAAGCAAAGAGCGCCTGACAGCTTTGAAGTGATGGTTGTGGAGCGAGATCCAAAGGTAGAATATTTTTTTAAACATTTAATGATAATGCTGCTTTTTCACTTTAAATACAATTAATTTGAATATTATATTATGAAATGGTCTTCTCTAAAATTTTATGTATTTATTTTTTATAGTGTTGTGGATAATGTCCTCTTTTTAAACTGTTTTTTATTTTATGAGCGATATAAAGTATGTAGTGTGTTTATATGAATCAAATTTACAGTGAATTTTTAATTAATAAAGTTTTGTGTTTGTTTGAAACATAAATACCATCTGTACTATTTGTACCGCATACTATTTTTCATTATTTTAATATATTTAGCATTATTCATTATTTTAAAAAATTCAGAAATTCTGATTGAAAAAATTCTGGCTGAAAAATTTAATTAAAAATTGATTTTTATGTGAATTTTTTTCTCAAACTTTTAATACAATATTCCTTTTTATTTTATTACTCATCTAATTTTATTAAATTATATTTTAATGTAACTATCAATATAATTTTACATTATAGTTAGAAAAATTAAAGAATTATAAATGAAAGCTCTTATAATACCTTTGAGCAAAGATCGTGAATCCTGCAACCAAGAGAATTGTAGGTTTAAACACTAAAAGACTTAACATCTTTCTACTACATCAAGTTAAAATGATTTTTGATTTAAATATCATTAAATGTTATGATTTTTAGATCCAATTTTTTATGTATGTATCGGTACTAAATATTTTTGTTTTCAGTACACAAGATCATCTACTGTTCTGTCTGTTGGAGGTATAAGGCAACAGTTTTCTCTGCCAGAAAATATACAATTGTCTATGTACAGTGCTGAATTTTTAAGAAACATAAAACAACATTTAAGTGTTTTAGGTAAATATATTTTATTTACCTAAGTTCAGTTGTATGTTAGGTAAATATACAACTGTCTATGTACAATGCTGAATTTTTAAGATACATTAAACTATATTTAAGTGTTTTAGGTAAATATATTTTATTTACCTAAGTTCAGTTGTATATTAGGTAAATATACAACTGTCTATGTACAGTGCTGAATTTCTGAGAGACATTGTGTTTTAGGTAAATATTTTTTTTAATAAATTTACTGAAATTCCTCTAAAAATAAATTTTTTCTTGAAATATACTTTAAATTTCTACTATTTTTTTTCTTTCTTTTTTTTTTAAAAAAAAATTACAACTGCTTCTTACAATTTAAAAGTTTTTTGTGTGAGGAAATGCTAATTGTCATTTTAGTTATTTTAAAAGTATGTGATTCTCAACAAGCAAAGTGTCAGAAAGATTTAGGTAGTTTGCAAAACTTCTCTTCTTTTTATAAACCTACATAAAATATTAGAAGGGAAAAAAATATGTTTTGTCCCTTTGACACAGAATTTTTATACTTTTTTCATTATTTTATACTAATTAAGGTCATAATAATTGAAAAATATTATATTTAGCATTTTAATAAATTATGATTGTTAAATACAGCATTAAACATCTTTCTTTTCTGCATCAAAGATTAAATTTTTCAAACTTAGAAACTATAATTTTTCAAATTTGCAGTTTTTTAAATTTAAAGAAGCAATTATTTGTCATTGAAATTTTTTTAATTTATAAAATCTATTATTGTTAAATTTTTGAATATGAATGAAAAGAAAAATTTAACAAACTGCTTTTTTTGGATGTTATAATTTAGTGCAAATATAATTCCGATAATCTAATAGATCTTTTTAGTAACTATAAGACTATTTTTTTTTACTTTGAAAAGATACCAAAATATGTCTTTACTTGTAATTGGAGTGTCAGAAATTTTTTTATAAAAGATACTTACAATTAGTTATAACATGTTATTGTTAAGCTAAAATTTTTAGCATTTGTAGAATTCTTTTTTAAATATGCAATTAGTTTATATTAAATATATATTAAAATATGACCGTATTAATTATTTTAAAAAATTCAGTTTGAAAAATTAGCCACTTAACTGCCATGGGCGTCTATATACGTCTCGGCCAGACAATGCGTTAACTGCCGCAGGCGTATATTATGCTTTCCCGAAATGCGATGTTTTGCATTGCGCTGCTATAAATAGTACTACACCCCCTACTTCAGAATGCAGTAAAATGACCTTGAATGTGTTTGCTTTGCAAATGTATTACTAATTTCGGAGGAGGGGGAATGGGAAAAGAGTGTTATGGAAAAGTGATATCGTATTAATCGCTTGCATGTCTCTATTTGAGTAAGGTCGGGTTTATTCTTTTTTCGCTTTCGTTTCTCGTGTGTATTTGGTGCTTTTTATTCTTTCCATCAACGTCTTCAAAGAGAAATGCATCGCGAAAATGTGCCGTTTGTTCAAGAAGAAAAATTTGTCGTGAATCCCGCTATCAGTGCTATGAATGTGATGTTGGTTTATGTGTCCAACCATGTTTCAGGATTTATCATACAACAGCTAAGTTTTAACAACTTTTATATTGTATTTTTATTCTTTAATTTAAACTTTGTATTTTCTTTCTTTCCTTTTTCTTGTCTTGTAAAAGTAAACTGTTTTTAAATTGCAAAGCATGCATCATTTTCCCCCACCAAAACACCGCATAAGACAGCGCACTTGAGCGAAAAACGGTGGTTCTGGGAAGTGAATCACATACATTTTACTCGCAAGTTAAGGGGTTAAAGTATTAATTATGTACTATGTTCAAAAAATTTATTTAAGGAAGTATCAACTTAAAAAGGAAATTCCAGAAACTCTTAAATATTATTTTTATATACAAATCTCTATAAAATCAATTCTTTGTTGACTTTTTTTACATAGGACAAGTTTGTACTGGTTCTTGTAAATTATGAAAATAAATTCACATTTTCATTCTTTAAGTTATTTATAATTTCTAAAGAATTTAAAACAATGTTATTAAATATTTAAAATGTTCTATTTATAATGCTTTTGTTTTTGTAATTCTACAGATGATGATCCTCCTGATATTCAGTTTCAACCGCATGGATATCTGTTCCTTGCTACTGAAGATGGAGCTGAGCAAATGCTAAAAAATTATAATGTTCAAAAGTATGCTCATAAGGATATATTAGTGCAGTTATATTGAATTACCATAACATATAAATTCCCCATTATTACAAATGAATCGAATTACCAGAGCATATAAATTTTTCATTGATGAATTTCTCATATAATGTATTATCACAGTTTTCAATTACAATAAGATATAGTGCAGTTGAATTGAATTACCATAATATATAAATTCCTCATTATTACAATTGAATTGAATCACCATAACATATAAATTGTTAATTTATGAATTTCTCATAATATGTATCATCACAGCTTATCTGAGTTACAATGAGGTTAAGTGCATTTGAATTGAATCACTGTAGCATACAAGTTTTTAATTTGTGAATTTCTCATACTATATATTATTACATCTGAATTGAATTACAATAAGATATAATGCAGTTGAATTGAATTACCATAACATATAAATTTCTCATTATTACAATTGAATCAAATTGCCATAGCATATTAATTTTTAATATCATAATCACTTACTTAATATCATAATCACTCACTTAACATCATAGATATTTATCAAGATGTGTGATATTATGTAAAAACTGAATTTTATGCTCAATAATTTTTAAATTATTCTCTCACATATATATATATATATATATCTATATATATATATATTTTAGTATTTTTCAACTTTCATTATCAAAATAATAGAAAAATTTTTAGTTTATTAAAATAATTAAAGATATACTAAAAGGCAGTAACTGTAGGTACATATTTTTTTTTAAAAGTGAACTATCAAAAAATAGTTAATTGTTAAACAACTTGATAGTTTTTTTCAGTAATGTAAACTGAAAATTATGAGAAAGTGAACGTTTAAAGATCATTTTAAAAAAAAGGGTATTTGTTTAAAAAATTAGTTTTAAAATTTAAAATCACTTGAAAAATTTATTAATATTTCCTCTTCCGAAAAAATGTACTTATAAAAATTTAACGAGTTGAGAATAATCCTAACTAAGTAATAATTTTTTGTTGCAGTAATCGGAACTTAACCTATAAATAGAGATCATTTTACCAGTCTATAATTATTATTTTAAAAAACAATGAATATTTTTTTTTCAAAATGGAATCTGAATAAAAAAAGGCAGTGTCTTTAAGGGGTGGCAGCTTACTTTTACAAAAAGGGCAAAGAGGTTGCATTTATTGGGAACAAAATGCAAGCAGAGCAGACTGTACTTAAAAAAACACTTATGGAGGACACTGCTATGTATTAACGTAGCTGAATTGAATTGCAAAAAGATATATATATTCTTCATACTATGCATTATTACAGTTGAATTAAGTTACCATAACAGTTGAACTGAGTTACCATAATATATAAATTTTTTGTTCTGAAATATGTTATACATGTCAATAAGAAAATAATAAGAGTTATCCTTTGTGGTATAACTTATAAGTAAAACTAACCTCAAGCAATATATTTAGGGTTTAATAAATTCAAATATTGCATAAGCATCTTAGAGGGAGAAGGTTTGTGATTTGCTTATTTTTGTTGACAAGAGAGAGTGCTTATGTAGGACATTAAAATCCACTAATGTTAAATTTTTTTTTCAATGCAAAATAAATGCAACGGAAAATTTTTTAATTAATATTTTATAAAAATCTTTTAAAATAATAAATTTTTATTTTTGTGATTTGAGGGTGCCTACTGACTCTTTATACTCCTTAGAAACTCCTTGGAAGTAAAAAAGTCTCCAAGGAGTACTTGGAACTACTTAGATTTTCAAATTAGTCCTTAGAAACTCCTTAGATTATTATGTTGCATAGATGAACTTATTAAGTCCGCTGATGAATTTGCTGTCCAAGCAGGGAAACTAAATGATATGATTTAGCTGTCAAAATCTAATAGTTTAAGAAAAACTTTAAAAGAAAAAAAAATTGAATTGCAAGAGTTAGAAGAAAATACTAACAGCAAATAATTTTAATTTTACATGTTACAAGCAAACTTAATTAATAATTTACTGTGATTTTTTTTTTTGTTTTTGTTTGTATGAAATGCCTTAGATTTTCTTATGTATTCAAATTTAAAAATATAAGATTAGTAGGTTTTTATGTTAATCTTCAACATCTGTACTTTACCAATATTTATTAAAATATTTGAAACTGGAAAACGTATTTATTTGTAAAAGTGATAACTTTATTTTTCTTGATGAAGTTTGACTAAGTCAAAATTTATTTCCAAAAGGCTAGAAAAAGTATGCAAAATATACTTTTTTGCATGTTCCTTATAATAACTGCTTTTTAATTTTTTTAAAAAAAAGAAGAAACTGTCTAGTTATCTTTTACACAAAGTTTTAAAATTTTTGATAAGTCCTTAAAATTTTGAGCTCCTCGGATAGTCCTTGGATTTCTTCTTTTGATCTCTGTATGAAACCTAGATTTTGAAATGCATTTTTTTTAAATTTAATTAGTTTTTTATTCTGATTTCTTTTGATATAGTTAAAATAGCTCTTAAAAATATTTTTATTTATCATTATTTTCATATTTTTTCTCTATTCAATGAAAGCATCTCTTTTTCACTAATACATTTTCTTTTGTTTTAAAATTTCATGTTCATATTAAATATTTAGCAATTTTTTATGGCATAAATATATTGTTTTAAAAGAAAGCACACAAATTAAAGAGTGAATAGTTTGAAGTTTTTGTGTTTGTGTTTAGTTGTAGAAGTGTTTTTATTCATAATACAATGTAACTTAATAACCATATAATTAATGTATTTTTTGTTTTTTTATGTAGCTTTATTAAAATTAAATTTGTTATTTCGGAGTAACAACTTTATTTGACTAAAATAGTTTGAACCTAATAAATATTCAAAATTTTAGTAAAATCTAATTTTAAAAACTATTTTAGTTTGAAAATTTTTGAAGTTAATAATTTTGTTTAATGTTTTATTTATATACTTTTATTTATTGAATTTGATTTTTTTATGCATTTAAAGTAATGCTATAGTACATGGAATGGTGTTGAAACTTTAGTTTCTTTGAAGTTAAATTAACATATTTAGAAACATTTTCTTTAGAAAACAGCACATTTGAATTTTGTCAGATAAAGAGATTTTAATTTCGTAAATATTTTTAAATGGCATCATTAAATATTGGGAAATCTATGTTCTAATTTGTATGTTTGTCTCCGTTAATTGCTGTATTATTTATTTTTCGGTTTCTTTAAAAATTCAGTTCGTTTTTATTGCTTTCAAAATTGACTTATTAAAAAAAATGTGCACAGCATTGCCCAGATCGAGCAAAATTATTTCTAAGAAAAAAAAGTTTCATTCGTTTAGACCTTTTTGACTGTATTATGTAATAATGTATTAACCTGTGTAAGTCTTGCAAAGTTATTGGTAGAAGTCATTGGTGAATTTAAAAACTCTTGACAGGTACCTTGTATATTTTCTTAATAGGTATTCTTTGCTTTCTAAAGTAATTACTTTAATTAGCATCAAAAACACAATTCGGTCCCATTAAATTAATTCAATAGCATAAAAATTTATTCATAATTATTTACTTGAATAAAGGGACTAAATATGGTTTTCTTTTTATATATATTCATAAAATTTTAATTTAATATATTAATGATTTTTGCTTTTTTTTCCATCTTTGAGTAAAACATGAAATTTTACAGAGAATTAGGTGCTAAAGTTGAGCTCTTGCAACCATATCAATTGAAAGAAAAGTTCCCATGGATGAGTACTGAAGGAATTGCTCTGGGATCTTATGGTAACTATACTTATAATAAATACTAAGGAGCATTAGATATAGGTTATTTCATACTAAAAATGTGTACTTTATGAAAGTGGTTGTTGTAAATTATTTTTAATAAACTCAATTGTTTATTTAGTTATATTTGAAATAAAACTCTTTAAATAGAAGATTCTGAGCTAGATATTACCTGAGTAACTTTTGCTCTAATAACCATATTTTTTTCTATGTGATAAATTATGAAATATTACTTATGATGAATTTATTACCAAACAAGTTTTAACAACACCAACATCCTGCCCGGTTGCCGAAGGACGAAAATTGATTGCCAATCATGGAAAACATTCATCATTTGAGTTGGATCCTAACTCTCTAATACTGGAATGGTTACATCATGCAACTAAGGGTAAAATTTCCAGAAAAACTGCAAGATGTGTGATATTATNAATCATCGTGGTTTATAATCATATAGTTTACAAGTTTAAAAATCACTCTTTTTTTTGTCAAATTTGTGTATATATATATAATTATATATTCAGTCTTGGATTTCCTCTTTTTTACTTTCTGACTACTCTCATCCCTGTTTTATAACAAATGTTATACTACTATAGATGTTGGACATACTTAAGTGGGAGACATAAAAGCAACCGCCTTACAGTATCTCCTTATGTGATATTTCTGTTTTTGACTGCTTAAAAAAAATTCAAAGGTGGACAGTTCCAATTAGACATAAAAGTGCAGCAGGCAATTTGAGATTTCTTGAAACTTAAAAAAAAAGGATGAGGCATATTCAAGCTTGTGAAGTACTGAGATGATTGGAAGTTTTGTATAATTGGCATAAAAAATCTTGTCTGCCTTTGTATCAAAGCTCATTTATTGGCTCCTTTGTTCCGAGGGAAACAAATTTCAGACTCATTCTTCCTATATTCTTGTAAGGCAATTATCACAACATCTGCAGATTATTTCTAATCTCAGATTATTATTATTTTTTTAAAAAAAGAGAGCAAATGTAGAAAAAATTGCTAACAGATAAAATCATGAATAAGTAAAAATTAAAGTTAGGAAGAAAATATTTTATCTATCTTCATTAATAAAAAATAAGCAATAGCTTTTTTTCCCTTTTTTTAAAAAAAAAAAATTGAAATTGTAGAAGGACATTTAATGCTAATTTTTCTGGTTATTATTCTGCAAGTACCTGTGATGGTATGGCAATAAATTTCATTTGAAGTTTGAAGAAGCTTTAACTTGGCACAAATCTAAATACTATAAATTGCAATTTTGTTAATTTCTTCCTTTAAAATGAAAAGATTTTATTTTGATGTCATCTGCAAGCATATCCTTCTTTTACTGATTTCTTTATTGAAAACATAAACATTTCTTTTCTTTTTTTTAAATCCTTTTGGACATTGCTTAATTATGACTTTTTTATTCAAATAAAATTTTTAAAACAATATAAAGATTTTCTGTATAACTTTATTATTTTTAATAATTGGAAATCAATATATTAAGCTTAATTTTTACCATCCTACTCACTGCATTGAGGTCACAGGCAAATTTGAATTTTTGAAGATAGTGTTGCAGATTGACTTTGTTCCCAGGCTTATATACAGGATTTTTTTTTTTTTTTTTTTGCAAAAAAATTTGTTTCTTTCAGGACATTAGAAGAAACTGGAAAAAAATAAAGATGACTCATATAATTGTTTAGAAATAAATATCATAGGAATAGCTGCAGTTTAAAGAAACTAAAATTAATGTATAAATAGTACTAGAAAGCTATAAGTTTTTCACAGCTACTTTTCTTTATAAACTAAAAGAAAACTATTTTTAAATTATTTATTTTAGTTTTACACAGAATTTTAAAATCTATATATCATTCTATTGAAGAGTTGGGTAAAGTATTCATACTAACCAAGTACTTTTGTACAAATTAATATAGTAATTGTAAATTCAATACATGATTTGTACTAGTGTGTATGCTTATTATGTGATTTTTTTAATTTTGGAGCAATTTATAAAATTTGATTTTGATATTTTAACAGTTCTGCATATAATTATAAAATAGGATTTTATTTTTTATGTTAAATAGAAAAGTATTACATTTATTTTAATTTTTTAAGAAATTCATTGAATTTATTTTTCTTCTACTTGGAACCATTATTTAAACAGGATATTTATTCTTTGAAAAGAGTTTCTTCCCTTTGAGTTGGAAGAAATTTGTTTTTTCACTGACCGGTTTTTTACCCTGTAGAAGAAACTTGCCATTCCTGCTTGAAAAAAATTATGGAAATTTCTGTGTATTCATCTCAATTATTAAATGCATGTTTTTTATTGAATTATATTTCGATGTTCTGTTGGTAATTTCTCAAAATCATTGTTCAGCCTGATTGGCATTAATTTTGAATTTGTTTCTTTAACAACATTAGGTTTTGAAAATGAAGGCTGGTTTGATCCATGGGCTCTCCTGAATGCTTTTAAAAAAAAGGCATGTTCTCTGGGTGCTGAGTATGTCAATGGTGAAGTAATTGGTTTTGAGTTCAGAAATGAGCACCCTATTGTGGACCCAACTCTTGACCCTCTCCTTCGCACAAATTATATGTATGTGAGTAGGCATCGCTTTTTTTTCTTCCTTCAATATTTTTTATTTGATAGACATGACTTAAGGCAATAAATTTTCATTTCTGATTTTTCTTCTAAGCAGTTAAATAATTTATTTGTGCATTCCCGAATTATTCACCTTTATGAATATTCATTAATACTTAAGTCGCTTCATATAGAATAATACACTTACATATTTTGGAAAAGGTGAGGCTACATCAATTAGCAAAATATGACAAAAGGGAAAAATTAGAGGTAAAAAAAAGATAAACCAACACAAGAAAAAAAAAGGGAAAATAAAAAACTAAAAGAGGGAAAAACTACTTGAATCTTTTAACTGCCTGATGAAGGAAGGTTTATTCTTTAGGAAACACTTAGATGTTGGGTTGGTTTTAATATTTTATTGTAAGATTGCTTTAAGTTAAAAGAATGTGAAGAAATATGATTTAATTATGCCCTTTTTATTTTACTTTTTATTGTTCACTGTGATTTTCAAAATACTTTTTATTGAAAAAAGGTGAGGCTTTTCTTTTGCGATAATTGAAAATTTTTTAAGCGAATGGTTGAAATAAGTTTCATCCATTTTCCAGATATGTATTCTCTCGTATGTTAGACTACGGCTTGAAATAAACAAGCTTTATTTGTTACTATTGTATTAACTATTAATATAGCCATGCAACAATCTGGCAATTGACCTGGAATTGTTTAGAAAAGTTTCATAAAGAAATAAGTGAAGAGTGTGTTTATTTGAAAGATTTATTTATATAAGACAAGCACGATGCTTTGGATAAATCTTAAATTTTCAATTCTTTATACTTAGCAAGGGTGATTGTACTCCGGGTGTACCCTGAAATTCCGGGTTTTTCGCATCATCCCTCCAGGTCTAGAAATTAGGAGCAGGGCATGTGATTTTTCACAGACCATTGATTCGCTTACTTCTGTGAATCAAAACTTATATAATCCTGTGAAATTTTCACCACAATTTAAATTTTGAAGCCTTTGCTAAATAGCGTTAATAAGACAATTTGATATATGTGACTCTTTCGTAATTTTGAATAATTTTTTTCTTCGTTTGTCTTATCTTCATCGTGTTTAGTATTATAAACTATGCCGGAATCCACTGATATCACAATTCATATTCACACAATTTTAATATCCAACATCGATTTTCGTATTTACCTAATTTAAAAGTTATTCCTTGTGATTCGCTTTCATGCGATTTAAAAATTGTATGCCGCGATTCGTACTTATGTGATTTAAGAATACGAAGTGATTTAAGAATCCGCAATTTGTATTTACAGGTTTTTAAAATCAATATCATGATTCGTTTCCCCACCAGTTTAAAATCCAATGTCGCATCCGTATTCGCAGGATCTAATGTAATCCATATTTACGCTATTCAAAAACCCAATATTGCGATTTGTATTTTCCCATTCTTAAATCAAACATTGTGATTAATATATTTTAGTGATTTTAATACCCAATATCGCAATTTGTATTTTTGCATTCTTAAAATCCGATATTTCAATTCATATTCATGCGATTTTAAAATTAAATATCGCAATTCATATTCACACAAATTTAAAATCCAATAACACGATTCTTGTAAGAACTGAGTTTTTTTCTTAAATTAATTGCTATAAAAGTTTCATATTCTTTATTGGTAAGTAATTTAATTATAAATGGTTGTTCAAAAATAAAAATTTTATATAATGATATAAGCAATTAAAATTAGATTGTAAACATAAGCCTTGCCAACTTTGATTTTTTGCTGGAGAATTTTCTCAAATTCTGGGATTTAACATTTACAATTAACTAAAACAAATTTAAGTAATTCTATATATTTGGCCTGTTATTGTAAAAATTTTATTCATAATGACATTTTTAATCTAATTACTCATTCATATTTTTCTACTACTAAAAATATTGGGAGGAACTAGAACTTTTGGGTTGGCAGCTCTGATAAACCTATATTAACTAAGCATTTTTATGTTTTAATGTTTATATTATACCTGAATATATTTATCAAAAGTTAGGTTAAACTTTTCTATACAAAATATCCTAATTATATTAATAGCAGATCAATTTCAAAATACCTAATAATTTTGATATTTTTGGAAATACAGTCGAACCTCGATTTCACGAATTTTTCGATATCTCGAAGGGAAGAAAAAATTCCCTTCAAATTTCCTATACTCTCAATGTTAAAAAAAAAAAATTGATTTCATGAAATTTTTTTTTCTAATCCCTCGATAACTTGAATTTTTTTCCATAAATAGAGTAGATTTTTTTTCTAAAATTAAAAAAATATTCCAAAAAAAATAAAAAATTTTAAGAATGGCTGACAAGGCATGGAATGATGTGTCTTCCTCTACGATAATGAATGGCTTCAAGAAGTCTGGATTCATTAAAGATCATGAAAGTAGTCAAACAATCAATATCGTTAATTCTGCTGAAAGCAACACCGAAAATGATTGGAACAGATTGACCGAACTCATGAGGCTTGATGACATGGAATTTCATGACTTTGTAAACGTAGATGATGCAGTAACAGTGTGTGGTCAGTGGGATGACAATGATATCATCACTCAAACGAAAGCTTTTTGTGAACTATCAGAAGAAGAGGAAATCGAAGATTTACCGCCCAATATTACTAACAAACAAGCACTTTCTGCAGTGGACACTGTAAGGAGATTTATTGAGAGGTAGCCGAATATGTCAGAGGAAACATTTAAAGCTATAGTTTACTTAGAAAGTGTTATAGACAAACTTTCATGCACATCTCTAAAGCAAACAACAATTGAATCTTTTTTTAAATGAAAGTGTAAAAAGCAAGGATGAGATTCTTCCGCGGATAATAAGATTTTCCGTATTTTTTATCCGTCGGCTGGATAGCTCGTATTTTCGTAATTCAGATCTCGATTTTTNTCTCAATTTTTTCTCCTCTCCCTTCAAATTCGAGATATCGAGGTTTGACTGTATATTCATGACTAGGGGGTTAATACCCCAGTTCACTGCTGCTCAGCATCCCCGGTGATTGATTCACAATGATTGCTATTTCTTAACATAAAGCAGTTGAAATTATTGAACTAAAAATATAGGTACGAAAGGAACACTTGTGCTTCCACTTCCCAATTATTTCCCTTATACTATTAAGATCTATTAGTGAACATAAATCATTTTTCTAAGTAATCATTTTTTAAAATAACATTTAAAATTAAAAGTATCATAACTGATAATTAAGGCCCGGATTTTGATGACTTTTGCATTTTTTGCATTTTTGGACATTCTTTGTCCATTAGAGCATTTTTTTAGATTTATAGGGCATTTTTCTTTTAACTTTTTGGCGTATTTTGCATTTTAAAGCATTTTTTAAATTTTTTGTTAATTTTTTCCAATTTTTATTATTTTGTTATAATTAATTATTATTACACTGGCTTCCAAACAATGAANCGGATAACTGATTTTTCCGGTTTTCTGAATCGCTACAAAAAGCCGTTTTTTTAATTGTTAAACCCAACTAAAAAAAATAATATTTGGAAATAATCTGAAAAAGAAGAAAAAATGAAGTAATACACTAATGATTATTTCCAAAATGATAGTAAGGTAAACATCTCTCCAAAAAGAAAGAAAAATCCTAAGATCTTATGAGGAAAAAAAATTTATTTTTTTTTAAATGGCGGGAAAATTTATTGAATTTCGTTCCGGTTTTTTGGTTTTCCGGTTTTCTGATTTCCGGATAACGGGTTCTGTACTGTACTATTAAGATCTATTAGTAAACATAAATCATTTTTCTAAGTAATCATTTTTTTAAAATAACATTTAAAATTAAAAGTATCATAACTAATAACTAATAAAAGAGTAAACTAATATAACTAATAAAAGAGTTATAATTAATTTGGAGAGTTTACAACTGTAATTCAATATTTTTGCATTCCAAACGGATGGATGTATTTAAAATACAATTTTTGCGTTCATCATTTTGTGCATGAAGCTGAAAGTTAAATTTTAAATCATTTAATAAATCTATTTAACCCTAATTCACAATAGTATATTAATGTCATAGCTCCAAAAAATAATAATTGTAAAAACGGTTAATAAGATCAGATACCGATAGGAATAACTTTATGTTAAAATGTTATGTAGAATTACATTATTCTAATAATAATAATAAAAACAATCCTCCCAAACTCTTAATTTAGAAGTCAAATGAAATCAAAAACGTAATAATAAGAGTACAGGCAATTTTAACCTTTAAACTAATGAAGCAAAAATATTTATTGGAAAACAATAACTTTATGACTTATATCATTTTTATGCTGATGACAACCGAACCAATATGAAAATTAATGTGGGAAAATTGGATCCAACCATGTGATTTTCCAGTCTATAAAAATGTATTGACAACAATGGAAAACTGCGACACCATCATTAGATTTTTATATAGAGTAAGATACCTGCTATGCATTGACAAGAGGAAAGAAATTGGGAGAAGTTTGACAGTCTATTAACAAACGTGAAATTTGTTTTCAGATCAAAGATGATGAAGGAGAAGTCCATTGCGTAGAGTTTGCTTTCCTGATTATCGCAGGTGGTCCATTTTCATCTGAAGTAGCCAAATTATTGCACATAGGAACGGGTCCAGGAATGCTTAGTGTTCCTCTCCCCGTGGAGCCCAGGTAGAATACTTTTAGGTTGTTTTTTAAAATCAGAATTTTTCAATACTTTTAGAGGTAGCAGTACGCTTAACCGAATTATCTTTAACCCTCTGAGTGTTAGTACTGGCTTTTTCTGAACTTTTTGCCTCAAGTTTTTCTGCTTCAAAAAACCGGTTTCCCCCATATTATTCAAAGGAAGCAGGGAAATTTCCATACAATTTTACCCAGGGGCTCAACACTTGGAGGGTTAAGTAAAGGAAAAGCAAATAAAGAAATAATTTTTTTAAAACCTTTACACACATTCTGACTTGGCAATCAATAATTAATTTTTAAAAATTAGTAATAATATTTAGTTTTTTGAAATTCTTAAGAAATCTCAGTTTTTAAATCCCTAACGCTTTTTTAAAATTTTGTACAGTTTTCAAAACTTATTTTTCCTTATAATAACTCGGATTACAACTGTTAAAAATCTGCATTCATTTGCTTAAATATAAATTTTTATCATTTTTTGTATGCAAACTCAATGAAAATATCTATGACACCGGTATAACATGCTGTGAAAACTTTAATAAGTATTGAAAAATTTATTATTCATTCAGTTTCATTTAGTATGTCTTACTGCTTTACTTTAAAGCTCTATCTTGAAAAGAATAAAATCTTTCATTTCAAATAGCGTAAGAAAATAATTCATGTGGAAAAGCATTTTTAAGTTTTATTTTTGCTCAAGACCTGCTTTTTTTTTTTTGCCTAAAATTATTTACAATATTTTTAATAATGTAGATATAGAGTTATAAAAATGATGTTTTTTTTTTTTTTTTTTGTCTGTTACGAGTTGTTCAATAAATTATTGTTCCATATTTTGGTCTATTTTTTTTTCCTTTTTTTTTTGAGGAGAGAGGTATGGAACCCTTTAAATAAATTTATGAGTTTACTGATTTTTATTTTGCTTCATAATTTTTTTTTTTTGCAGTAAATTCATAGATTTTCTCAATTGCATATAATTTATACATATCAATTGTAAATTTATTATTGCTGTATGTATATTCAAGCATTGCTATTCATACAAAATAATATTATGCGTTGACTTATGTTGGTCATTTTTCTGTATCAATAGTATGCAATAAATGACCCCAAGAAAATTATTAATTTACGTTTTTCTTTATTTACCCATTTCTGCTGCCAGCTGTTTCATTACTTTTAAACTTCTGTAATATATTATTTGATAGAAATTCTCAAATTAAAAAAAAATAATAATAGTTAAGAAGTTTAAATTAATTATCATTATTACTGTTTATTTTTTATTTATTTATTTTGCTTTAATAATTTTTATGTTCTTAAATTTATTCTTCTTGATTCAAAAATTCATAGTTTGTTCTTTATAATCTGAGATATTGTGAAATAGATTTACTTTCGATCAAATAGTTTTATAAGTTTTAAATATCTAATTCCCAGCAACAGTTTTACCTTTGCCCCATTCGGGCTCAATATGGGTCCAACATGAGCATGCACCGAGGGACCCATATTGGGATGTCTTTGATTTTTTAATATTAGTCCTATATTGGCCTTCATGGGTCCAATATATGGCCTTATAATTACTTAAAATATTAATTAATATAAAATATTGGGTAAATCTGACAATTCTATATAGGGCCAATATTGGTTGCAAAATGACTGTAAAATTTCAGGTGAATCGGGCAATTCTATATAGAGCTTATATCGGAAAATAACTGTCCTTTGAAACCTGATTGAGCCAAGATTCGTGAATATTGGTCCGATGAAGGGCCAAGTTATTTTGGTGCTGGGGATGTTATTACTGTATTTTTACCAACTAACTTTTTTGTCTGTGAGGGTGATATCTTTTACTTATAATTTCTACCTTTTTCAACAAACTACAAGAACACTGCAATATCTTCTGTAGCTGTGTTCGTGGTGACATTGCAAGTGTCAATCATTTTGTAACTACTACAAATTTAATTTATTGCCATATGATTGACAAAGAGAATAAATTATCAATCAAAATTTGTACCCAAGTCCAGAGTCAAAAGTGCTTAAAACTCAATGACAACTCTGTGCTGAATAACAATGCAAGTTTAAATTATTTCTTGACAAAATATGCAGTAATTCTGTTTGTAATTGTAAGGAAATTCTGACGGCTTTCTCATTGGCATTTACTCACATTTTAATTAAAACTCTGTGCATATTTTAATGCAAATAAGGATCCTTTCTTAAATAATATAAACTGAATTTATTGTCAAATTAAACATTTTCTCTTCTCTTTTGTTTATTTAAAAAAGTTAATTTAAAAACGTTTTATTTCATCGTTCAATGGTGATTTTGTATTTATGTTTCTTTAAGAATATTCTTTTCCTTTTTTGTAATTTATCCTAAAATATATTTACCTTTTTATTGATTTAGGAAACGGTATGTTTACGTTTTCAACTGTGAAACAGGTCCTGGAATAGATATGCCTTTGGTTATAGATCCATCAGGTGTTTATGTGAGACGAGAAGGTCTTGGAGGCAAATACATTTGTGGACGATCCCCATCTGAGGTAAAAAAAAATCTATTCAACTTTCATTTCATTGTTATTATCTTTTGTTGTTGTTGAGCCACAATGTCGGAAATACGGTCCCAATGGTTCTGTCAAGAAAGCGCTCCAAAGTTTGGACTCCTTAATGTTAATTTTACTTTTTGAGTGTTTCAATATATCTACTGACTTTTTCTGTCATTATTTAGGGTTAGTTTCTTTGGAGGTTGTAAGAAATATAAATTTATACAAAGATTGCATCAAAACTTTCCTTTTTGCTTTTACTCATTATCTTGTTGAATGTTTTTTATTTAGACTGAAGAACCAGATGTAAGTAATTTAGAAGTGGACTACAATTTCTTTGATTCGTCAGTTTGGCCTGTCATAGCAAAGAGAATTCCTCATTTTGAGTGTATTAAGGTAATTTTAACTATTTGACTTTATATATTAATTCATTTTATTTTACTTGTGGAATTTTTCTTCATCTTCTATTTTTACTGAAGTATTTACTCAGGTATTTATTTGGTTGTTAAGTTTTAACATAATTAAAGGAATCCTTTCAAAAAATTAAATAAATCTTTATTTTTGTATTGTCATATTATTGAATGTAACTTGTATGATTAAAGTACATTAAAATTAAATATACATGAACATATTATCCTATTAATGCTTAAATCTTTGAATTATGTAAAAAGTTTGTTTTCGTGACAAATGATAATATTATGCTACCTTTGCTATGTTTAAACTAGTACTTTAGCTTTGAAATTGCACTAAGCTCATAATTCAGATCCATATATATATGTAGTGGTAGGCTGTACCATCATATTTCTGCTAATTAAATACTTATATTGAAGCAGTACTTTTATCTTTTTTCAAAAGAGGAATATTTCTAATAAATAAAGTCACACTTGGCAGTTACAAACAATCAGTACTTAGAATCATCAACTTAATTACTTTTGTACAAAACTGTTAGGCAGCATATTAATTTTGTTTTTGTTTCAAGATTATTGAAACCATACTTTAAATTTATTTGATTTAAGGAAGACTTAAACTCTTGTACAAATTTTTTTAAACTGTAGTGTATGTAGAAATATACTGGTTATTTATTTATTCTGGGTACTTTATATTTATTTATTCTGGTTTAACTGGTTATTTATTTAAATGAAACACCATGAAAAATTTTTATACATTGATCTCAAGCTATTATGTGTTCACGCTCGTTAAATAAATTTTTACTGGAAATTGTTGAAATTTTTTGTTACATACAAAGTAACTCTGAAATTGAAAAAACATGTTTTATTTTATTTATTTTAGTCTTTATTATAAAATGTCTTTATTTTACTATTTTTTTATTTCTCATGGCTAGAAGAGCAAATTATATTCTTTAATTTGTCCTTCTCTCTTATAAAAAGTAACCTGGTAAATGTCTATTGCACTAAAAAAAAATTTTGATTTTTTTCTTTAGCCTACTAAGAGGATAGAAGTAAGCATTTTCATTGTTACTTGAAAGTTTTTATAGAATGAGTTAACAGTAATATAATTAACATATTTTTAAAATTATATTTTCTTTTTTCAAATTTAGGTAAGCAGTGCATGGGCTGGCTATTACGACTACAACACTTTTGACCAGAATGCGATTGTTGGTCGCCACCCCTATTTTCCAAATGTGTACCTCGCTACTGGCTTTAGTGGACACGGCATTCAGATGGCTCCGGCTGTTGGAAGAGCCATGATGGAGCTCTTAATAGACAAGACCTATGTCACCATAGACCTTACAAAGTTTCATTTTCATAGAGTCTTTCAAGATCAGCCAGTCTATGAGCAACACATTGTTTGATGTCCATCAAAGCCAGTGCAGTGCAGAAAATACTAATTAAGTGACCTTTCTTAAATGTATTCAGTTTTTAAGACAACAGACTTTCGCGAACTCGCGTTTCTCTCCTTTTACTCAGTTTTAACCTTTCTGTAGTTTTGTCTCATCTTAACCTTTTTAAAGCTGTTCTTTAAAGGCCCTGTCACAAACACATTTAATACACCTGAAATAACTCGTTTTTGCCAATTATATGCTATTTTCTTAACTAGTGTGAGTTTGCAACAGTTATTCATGGCTTTTAGTCAAGCTTAGCGTTATGCTCTATGCCAATTCTAAAAATTGCACAAGATTTGAATATAAACAAAAGTCACAGTTTAGTGAAAATGAATAGCAATTGTGATCTGATTTTTAAATGTTTAAAAAGTTACTCCAATGCTAAAAATTTGAAAATATTGAGAATTATTTATTGATTTTTAACATTTTTGATTCGGTCGAAAAAGCTTGTTAATAAAGGTTTTTTTTTTTAAAGATGCTAAATATCTTTTAAAATATTTTCGTTAGTTGTCTGCTTTGAAGCCAAGTTAACTCTTTATGACAAAATTGTAGATATTTAGTTTAAAATTAAAGCTTTGCCTAAAGTCTAAGACATTTAAACTATGGCTAGTTTTTCCTGTCTAAAGAGCTTTGACTCTGTTAATTATGTTCTTTCAAGCTTTTTCACAAAGAAAAAGAAAAACAAGCCTAAATTTAAGTGCCTTCCACTTTAGGCAAAGCTTTAATTTTAAACTATATAACTATCTTACTTTAAAAAGGGAAAATAGCTTAGATATTTTTAATTTACTTGAAAATTTCTAATATCTATTTTGGGATTGAATTTTTCTCTTAGATAAAAATAATTAAAGTAATCTGAAGATTATTTTCTGTATTTAAGTATTTTTGCATCAGAGTAACTTTTCAAAAATTAATTTGCAAAGTTTTCATGCTCGAAAGACTGGGACTTTTTTTCATAATGGCAGCTATTTTCATCATTTTTATAAAAGACCCTGACTAAAAAATAGACAAAACTTTTCCTAACAGTCATGATTAACTGTCCTAACTTATCCTAACAGTCATGATCACCACAGTTATAAAAGTGCCGTATGTTTTTAATAAAGAGCTTTATTTCTTATGACAACAGAGCCTTTGAAAATAGCCTTAATTGTTTTCTTGTTAAAGTTTTAAATAAATTTTGTTTTATGGATGTTTTGTTAGATTTGTCAGTGCTCTGGGAAAATTAAATGATTGGCTGTAAAGTTTCTAAAAGGATATTAGAAAGCTTTCTACTTTACCTTTTCAGTTTAAAAAAAATTAATGAAATTGTCATTTCTATGAGAGGATTGTGTTCATTTGAAAGGTAAAGTGGTGAATATTCAAACATCCTTTTAAAAACTTAGCTTCTAGTTTTTTGAGTTTTCTCAAAGCGCTACTAAGAATTATGTTTCGTGTGCTTTTTGTTAGCCGAAAATCTCAACTTATAACGTTTAGATCTGTTAAGTTAGATCTGTAACGTTGTAACAGGCTGTTTAATGATGTAGTCTTCAAATTTATTTTTGTTACATTGAAAATGTGGCTACAAATATTCTTGTTTCTCACAATTAAATGAATTTTACAATAAGTAAAGTTTACCACATTTCCTCCACACATTATCTATGCTAATTAAAAAATTTGCCTTCTCTGAAATTAATTGTAATATTAGAAGATAGTATGTATACAAATAAATAAGATCTTCTTAATTTAAAATAATAAAATCGAAATGAGTATAAAAAAATCACTTTATTTTTCAAAGAAAAGAAAATATAGATATATCATTAAAAATTATTCATCAGTGCAAGATTTTTTCTTCTTCTCATTTTACTGAAGTTATTAAGCAGAAAAATAATTTATAAGATGATAACTGTTTTGCCGTATACGACATTTAATGTTAAATGATATATTTAAGAATCTTTGCCATTTTTTTCTTTTAAGTTTTTTTTTTTTAAAATATGTTGTTTTGTTATTTAGTTTTAAAATTATTTTATTGTGTTCTTTGAAGAGATTTTGTTTTAAAAATAAAAATTAATAATTTCTTTGCTTAAATGTCATTTGGGATACATTTATTTGTTTTAAAACATTGTTGACTCTAAATAACATCATTTTATGATCCATATTTATTTACAAAAGAAGCACTTACTTGTAAACATGTTATTTTTTTTTAAATTATCTGTTTAGATGTGTAAACTTTATTTTATTAAATAAAGTGAAATAATAAAAAATTACATGAATATAATATGTTGAAAATAATAATAAAAACTAATTCAGCATGTTTATATAATTTTTCTTTAAATTATTTTTCTACATCTTCTATAGAATATTCCTAAAATGCATTTTCTACAAATAGAAAATGTAATTTATAATAGCTTCTGATAATTGAATGTGTCTAAATCAGTTTGTATGACAGAAAATTGCAGTATTTAATTAATGACATAAAAATTAGAAAAAAGACTTATGCTTTTTACTGATTTATGGCAAAAAATGATACTTTGACCACAGTTTCTTTTAATTGTAGATTATTTTAGTGTTTTGTGCAGAGTTGTAATAATAGGAATTAAAAAGAATCTCTCATCTCTTCACAGATAATTTAGTTTTTGAAGAAATATTAATATTTATGTAAAAATTAACTAACACTGATTTTTTCATAAGCATAAAAATGACAAACATTCATTTTTACAAATTAACATGGATTTCTTTAATTTGCAAATAATCTTTTAATTGTTATCAAATTTGAAAGACTTATTTTACTACCTCCAATTTTTTCCTGATATTACCAAACCTGTCAGCTTCCATACAGAACATCACTTTTGAAAAAAGCATTAAAATATTCATTTTTTATTAATTAAAAAGTCACAGTTATGAATCAAAAATTAGATTTTTCATACATAAAACCTCATTTCTTTCTAAACTATTGGTTTTAATGTGACTTATTTTTGATTTCATACCATTCAGCTTTAAAAAAAATTGCATGAGAAATAATACCTCTCTTGTTTAGATGACAATGTCAAATGCGTAAATTGATAAAAGTCAAAAATTGTGCATCAAATGGAGCCTTTAACCCTGTTTTTCGAAGCTCTGTTGTTAAGGAAAATAAAAAAAAGCCATAGTTTAAGTGTCATACACTGGACGCAATGCGATAAATAAACATAATCTTGCCATGAAGAAATGTAAGGGTTTTAGAACAGGTAAATAACTTACATACACTCTATAACAAAAAAATCGACGAACCAAGACGCAATCATCCGATTGTTTTGAAATTTCGCATGCATGAATGTTTTGAACAGATATGGCTGAAATGATGCCGACTAGGGACATATCGTCTTTAGCGACGAATCCCGCTTCCAACTGTGTTCTAACGATCATCGAAGACGTGTTTGGAGACGCACAGGGCTGAGGGGGGATCCTACCTTCACTATTGCACGCCACACCGGCCCTCAACAAGGCATTATGGACTGGGTTGCCATTTCCTTTGACAGCCGGACCCCTTTGGTCGTCATTAGAGGTACACTTACTGCACAGCGGTACGTCGACGACATCCTAAAACCTGTTTTGCTACCGTTCCTTTTGCAGCGCCCTGGGCTGGTTTTTCAGCAGGACAATGCCAGACCACATACGGCACGTGTTGCTATGAACTGTCTGCAAGCTTGTCAAACTCTTCCTTGGCCTGCCAGATCACCAGATCTCTCTCCCATCGAGCATGTCTGGGATATGATGGGAAGGCGATTGCATCTGGCACGGAATGTTGATGACCTCGTTCGACAATTGGATCGAATTTGGCAGGAAATACCGCAAGAGACCATCCGGGAGCTTTATCGGTCTATGCCACGCCGTGTGGCAGCTTGTATCCAGGCTAGAGGCGGGTCAACACCTTATTGAACTTGCTACTGTAACTCTGCAATAAATTATTCAATTGTTCTGAAATTTTAGTAATTTACTATTCTGTACATTGTCTTCCTATCCACCAATTTTCGTTTCAATCGGACTTCTCCTTCTTGGTGCGCCGATTTTTTTGTTATAGAGTTTATTTTGAAAGTTATTAAACTTTTTTTGAAATCACCAATTGGGCGACATTTTTCCACCGAGATGAAAATTATTAAAATCGCTGCTTATTGTCAGTTTTTTTCACTTTCATAAAACTGTGGCCTTTCTCCATATTGACGTTGCGCGCCATTTTCAAAATAAGTGTAGACAGCGCTGGCTTTAGACAGACTAATCTTGGCCTAACAGTCACGAGTAACAGTTGTAAATTCACAACAGTTATAAAAATAGCATATTATTCCCAAAAAAAGCGTCATTTCATAGGACGACGGATCCTTCGAAAAAAAGCCTTTAAAACGTTTGTAACTTCTAAATTATTGATTTTACTCTCATTCGATAATCAATAAAAAGAAAAGAAAAAAAAACATATGAACCAATGCATAGGTAAAGGTACAAAACAGCTTTTGATACACAAAAATTTGTTTAATGTTTGAACTTTTAATCCTATCAATACACTGTTTTGATTTTGTTAGATTCGGAGCAAAACAATGGCAAATGCGTAAATTATTATAGGTTTAAATTTTTTCCTTTTCGTCATAAAATTTTTTATTATGTCTGAATTATTTATCCTATCGATTTAATTTGTTTTCATTCGATATATAGAAAAATTTATTAGATAACAATGTCAAAATAGGCACTGCTTTTCAATAGAACCTAAATAACTAGTGAATAATACTGGGTAACAAATTATTTTTTGTTTTCTGTTGCATGAGATTTTTTGAAAAATCGTAGGCACTTTAGTATGGCAGATTTCAAATTTGCAATCAGTTTCTTTCTACACAAGCTACAGATTTTTTAAAATAACATAATAACATTCATCATTTTTTTTATAATACAATTTTTTGTCAAAATGTATACGTTTAAAAGCGTTATATAAAACAGTGGGTCATATAAATAATGCGACAAACTTTTAGGGGAGTTGGGGCACATCACCAAGATTAAAATTCGCATAGTTACCCATGCTCGGAAATGGCGTCGAACACGGCTAGGGGTGTGCCCCTATAACATCTAAACGTTACATATATAACGTTTAAATTTTCATCATTAAGGTTTTTAAACTTGTTCATTTCCCAAAAAATAGACTAAAAATGTCCTTTTAAAAAATTTTATTGTAAGAAATTTAAAGCAGAACAAATTTGAAATTCCCACACCTGAATTAAACAAGATCAAGTATTTGAATTAATGCAACAGCAAATTTCTTCCCCAATGTCCCATCGATTTGTGATATCCAATTTAATATAAACCATTATGTTTCATTCCTTCTCTCTTCTTGTATTCTTTCAGAATACAAAATTCATATTATATACTAACACTAAAAATTGTATGCTTTTATCATTAAGTGCACATCGTAAAATAACGAGCTGCCCTCTGATTCGCCCTCACTCATAATCTCATACCAGTGATCAACACCATCCAGAATAAGAATATATTGACGCACTTGCACACAACTGACGAGTATACACCCGCAGAAATTCTTACATTTAGCAGCTATGTTTAAAAAATTTTTAATATCATACACATGAATTTTAAAAAAGTCGAAATGAGGTGAACCGGGTTCGAATCAGCGATGGGTGGTCGATCCGAATTTTCGCAACAGAGCCAGCTCGCACCAACCACAGTGCTGACGTAAAATATCCTCAGTGGTAGAAGCATCATGGGTTAGAATCCTCTTGCCGTCAGGCTAACCTTGAAAGGTTTTCGTGGTTTTCCTCTCCATGTAACGCGAATTCGGGTTAATTCCATCAAACAGTCCTCCACGAAGACAAATTTCTCCCAATACTTGATCTAGGAGTTCTCTTGTCCTCTGGATTGAGTTCAAAATCACAGGGCTAGGGAGTTGAACATTAGTAGTCATATACCCAAAAATTGGGTCGGCTGTTCAACGACGGTTATAATATGAAATATCGGGATTCGAAAATGACGCATCATAATTCAAATTCGAGTGATTTAAAAATCAAACGTTGTGATTCGTTTTCACGCGGTTAATGAATCACAATTCCCATTCACACGATTTAGAAATCCAATAACGCGATTAAAATTAACCCGTTTTTGTAAAATTCATTGATCGATTTTAATGATAACCCTAACATAGATTTACATTATTTATCGGTTGCTCATTGCGATTCGTATTCGCACGATTTAAAATTAACTCTTCAAAATTCATGCAATTTAAAAATCAAATGGCGGGATTCGCGTCTTTAAATTCCAATATCGATATTCGTATTCAGGCGATATCAAAATCAAACATCGCGATTCGTATTGACGTGATTTCAAACGTATCATTGGAAGGCTTTGCTGATTTGAATTACAAATGGTTGCCAATGAATATATTAAATCTTTTTCGTTCTTCGTGTTTATACTTTTTAAAAGAATTTTTATTTTCTCGCTAATTACTTTTGACGATATCATCGTTATAATTTGAAAAAATAGAGTAAAGTTGAATGGTAAGTTACTTAAAATAAAATTTATTTAATTTTACTTTTATTTGTTTAATATTTAATTAAATCGAGCAACATTTTCGTTGTATTAAATATTTTCGAGTTCCTTAAAAAATGTTTGCCTCTTACCCTCGCATCGTTTACTCCCCCACTCCTCAGTTGGCATCGATTTTCGTAAAAATTTGGAAGGGGAGTCTTAATCAGTATTTTATGCCACACCGCTCCACCATTGTGAAATCATACTACTATACAAAGGTAATGATTAATTATAAAATTGAAAGGAAGAAAGTTTCGTTTATACATGTATTGTTGTATACTTAAACTTTTTTTTTTATAGAATAATTCACTCAATTATTTTAAAACTATTAAATCTTGAAAAGGTGGAAGCAATTTTTTTTGGAGGGGGGGGGGTGGATTGTGAGTGGTTAATGTTGAGTGGCTTAGACGGTCTAGCTTAGTACGTTCGCAATTTTAAATTGAAGATAAATTTTATATCCGTTTTAACCAATTTTCTGTATCAATACTTATTCTCCGTTGGTATAGATACTGTAAATTTAAAGGCATAGATATTTCCTTAAGGTAGCCAGAAAAAAGATAACCTTGTTAGTAATTATACGAATTTACGAACCGATTATATTGGGGTCATTAAGCAAAAATTTAATGTAGTTATAATTTCTTATTCTTTCAAATTATTAGTATTATTCTACTTTAAGTATTTATTTAGATATTTTTATTTTAAAAGTATTAATATTAATTAAAGTTTACGTAAGGGTTTTTTCCCCCACTTCATTCTATTATAGCATACCAGACTTCATTTAGTAAACAAATAAATCTCAGTCCTAAGCAACCATGGTAACAAAACATCTCTACTGTCAGAAGAATTATTATTGATTTGGATGATCGATTAACACAATTTGCTGATGTGTGAAGTTGCTGAACATTCGATCATTCGAACAAAATAATGCTGGACGTGATCATCCTTCGAATTTTTATGTGTTGTTCTTTTTTCCTTGCTGTCCATGGATTTTATTTTCATCTGAAAGAAGGCGAGGAAAAATGCTTCATACGAGAATTGCCAAAGAAAACATTGCTCGTTGGTAAATGTACTTTTCATTTTTACTTTTTTATTATTTTAACTAGTTTTTTTTTTGTTTTTTTTTCTCTTTCTGTTTTCTTTTTAAATTTTACTTTGAGGCTCCACACCCTACTTACTTCTGACCCGCCTCGAAAACAAATTAAAAAAAAAAAAAAAAAAAGCAGATTCTTGCATCAAAATTAAATATTATTTAATTTAGATCCCTAATATTTTTCCGGTTTGTATAAACGCAAATTAGGCACAGCAGGTTTAGATTCTGATTCTATTGGTGTATAGTGCCCGAAATATTGAACGGACCACCCTGAATAACTTTTGATCTAATGATCAGATCTTCACGTTCTAAAACTGATTTTTAATGGTTCAAGGGAGAGACCTCAAATCTGTTAATTAATTAGTGCAGACGATATGAAAGTTAAAAAATCGGACACAAAAACAGGCCTTCTCTGAATAAACATAAATTTTTCTCATCTGATTAGGATTTCTCACCTGATTTGAGTTCTGCCCCCCCCCCCTAAATATAGGGGGTAGCCGCAATATGAAAAATATGATTCTCATAGTTTGGTCAAGAGAGCGATCCAAAGTTTGGAAGTAACAAAGTTTGGTTTTAATTTTACTTTTTTTTTGTATTTCACCGTGTCTCGATGAATTTTTAAGTGAGAATTGAAAAATTTTTGTACACAATTATATAATTTGCTTATTCAAAGATAATCACAGGCAAAAACAATTTTTCGTGAATATTTATTATTTTATTTAATAGCAGTAAAACGTTTTTGAATTGTAAGGTACACAATTTTTAACGTCATTTTAAAGTATGTAATTTTGCATGGTAAAATACTTAATTAGATCGAAATCGGTTAAATACTTCCTGAGAAATGGAATTTTTAAAAAGTCGCATATTCGAAATTCTATTTATCAGAAACTATCAGCCGATTTCGCTACAATTTTGAATTTCGCAATTTTAATTTACATACTTTATAATGACGTAAAAATTGTATACCTTAGAATTAACAAAATTTTCTATTAAATAAAATATTAAAAAATAATGAATATTTACAAAAATTCATTTTTTGCATGGAATTATTTTTGGACTAGCGAATTTTATAATTGTATGCAAAAATGTTTCAATTAGCCCAATAAGTTCTCGAGGTATGGTGAAATACGAAAAAATCAAAATTAACATTGGGAGGTTCAAGCTTTGGATCGCTCTCCCGACCAAACTATGGGGACTATATTTTCCAGATCGCAGCTAGAAATGTTCAACTCCGTCGCCTTTTCATTTTGAATCCTATCCAGAAAACAAGGAAACTCCTAGATCCAATATTGGGAGAAATTTGCCTTTGTGGAGGATTTTTTAATGGAACTAACTCGCATTTGCGTTACATAAAGAGGAAAGCCTCCCATGGTAATCCTGACGGTAAGGAGGCTCTAACCTATAGGCCTGTTTAGACGATCCAATTTCTTGGACAGAGATTGATTGATATTGATGGAAACTTGTTTTGCTTTGAGCTTGGATCGTGTAAACAAACATCCAAGAATTTGGTCCAACTTCTTGGACGATAGTAGAGCATGTTCTACTTTCCATCCAAGTTTTTTCTCCCTTAACCAATCATCGTCTTAGGTTTTGTGACGTCAACAAGCTGGCAGCAAATTATGTCATTTTGTTGTGGGTTTTCATATATTTTAGTTCAAATAAATTGATCTGTTGAGGTTTATTTGTGTTATTATGATTTNGAAAAATTTAAAGAGGTTAACGCTCTTACATTTTATGCACAATATTTCAAGAGTTTGGATAACTACCCGGAATTAAAAAAGCATGCAGCACGCATTCTGAGAACAAGAGAAGTCAGGTATCTGGATTCTCGAGCTCAAAATAATTACCATCTTTTATAACTTTGATATGATTTTTAACAACCGTATATTATATACCATATAATTAGATAAATAAAATGTTATAATAGTTCAGAACATTTTTTTTATTTGAATCTGGCCCGCCTACACATTCTAAATTAAATATATGGCCCTCTGCAAAATTGAGTTTGACACCTCTGCTCTAACCTATGATCCGCCTGCCAATGAGGATATTTTACGTCATCACTGTGGTCGGTGCAAGCCGGATGCGGAATTCGATTCGACCTGCCATCACTGGGATTCGAGCGCGGTTCACCTTATTGGAAGGAGAACGATCTATCCCCTGAGCTATCATAGCTCTCAATCTGTTTTTTTATTTTATAACTGCCGTCAAACAGCTTACCCAATTTTGGGTTTACAACTACCAATGTTCTACTCCGTAGCCTTGTAATTTTGAACCCAATCCAGAAGACAAGGAAACTCCTGGATCAGTACCCCCAGATGTGTCATTTGTTATGGGAACATGACGGACTTTGTGACCCGACAGATTTAAAGCGCATCAGTCACCACGGGGAGTCTTCGGCCGGTGGGGATCGAACCCACGACCTCTTGGACATGGGCCCAGTGCCCTACCAACCACGCTATCCCGGCCCAAATATTACAACCCAATAATGAGTTAATTCGACTATTGTTAGCGCCTGATCACTCTGTCTTTTGTCAAGATCTCGCCTCGGACCAGCTCGTCTATCCCACCTGTCTTCTTTCCTCTTGCACCTTTCTTCTCCATGGTCTGCCTCTTTTTCGCTTGCCTTCTGGTGCCCACGTTAAGATGGTGGAGGCATTCTCAATACGTGACCTATCCATTTCCATCTTTTTCTTTTTATATTGATGGGGATTGGTTTTTACTGTACAGTCCTGAATGATCTGAGGTCAGAATATTTCTGAAACATCTGTTTTGTCAACTATTTAGTTTTTTGTTAGTTTCCATGTTTTTGATTCTTACTCATACAACAATACACTCCTTACCACTGAAAAGATTTCTTACTGTAAATAGTAAATTCATTCTCGTTTTTTCTTTAAAAAAAAGAATTAAAAAAAGCTATGTAAAGCCTTTGCTGTATTTTAATGTAGTCTAATACGAATGGTGATATATTATTTTTTTTTTTAAAAGTACCACCCTTTGTATAAGTCTGCATTAAAACACATAAAGTTTAAAAAATATGTATGATAAGTATCTGGTGAAACTTTTCCTTTTTCATTCCATGTCTATGTTTTAAGGTCAAGTGCCACTGCCCAGTATGCATTTAACCAGTACTCCGAACGCTGATGTTTCTCCTAATCTATCCTCAGCAGATATTAAAATATCGAATCAATATTAATAATGTCAATGAATAAATGAATATCAAATCGGATATAACAAATATTTCGGGCATTCACGAAAGCAACTATGTGATTGTTGACATCCACAGGTGAAAGTCGACATTCTCTTGGTTTTGGTCATTCACGGTAGCAGATATACAATATGACGTATTTTGTATGCACTTCAATACTACATAAAAATTGAATTTGGAATAAATAATGTCAATAACTACCTTATCTATCAATGCAATTCTAAATTTCTAGCTTTTAGATACATAATATTGTGATAATAGATGCATAATGTTATATTGATTTTAAATACAGTTTTAAATCCTAACATAAATTCGTATCATAAAACGAACCAAAGAAAAAGATAAGAATGTGGAGAAAGTAGTTACAAAATAGGTGAAATTGGGAGTATTATTTCAAGGTTGGCGCAAAGAATGAGGTTGCATTAACTGCCGAAACCATTCAACATAAGTGACAAAACATTATATTTTTCTGAAAAATTATAAAAGTTCCGTACTTACGGTACACATTTTCATTCTGGAGTTTGGAGTCAGAACTTGTTGTTGTTCATTTACGTCGCACTAGAGCTGCACAATGGGCTATTGGCGACGGTCTGGGAAACATCCCTGAGGATGATCCGAAGACATGCCATCACAATTTTGATCCTCTGCGGAGGGGATGGCACCCCCGCTTCGGTAGCCCGAAAACCTGCACGCGAAGTCGAGCACTTTACGGTAGAACAGTTTAACGAGGACCAATACCACACACCCTCGGTCCCTACGCAGGCTGATCCAAGTGGTTATCCACCTGCACACTGACCGTAGCCAGTGATACTTGACTTCGGTGATCTGCTGGGAACCGTGTCTTAGCGATCAGTCCACTGCGGGACTTTGGAGTCAGAACAGTTACGGTTAAAAAGACCTACACATAACAGACTTCCAGCATTATTTTTGGCGGATCTCTGTTGATTCCATTCTTTTGTTGTTTCATTAAAACGCCTCTCTCTCCTGAGTTAAATATTCCTTAACCTCAAAACTGATATAAGGTCACCAATTATTATGATACCCGCGTAAACTAATAAGCATAAATGAAACAAAATATTAAACAGTTATTTTATTTATAAGAAGAATTCGCTTTTAGGAGCACCTTTCGTATTAAGAGAAACATTTCGTGACAAATTTTCTTCCAAAGTAATATAAAACTTTAAATTATAGAGAAAGTGATTCCATGTAAATCTAGAATGCGACATAAAATTTCAAATGCTGATTTTTTTTTAAAAAAAATATGTCAATATGCAAAGAGATTAAAGCAGGATTATTAGAATTAAAGTCTGCGTTGAAGTAATTATGCAATCATTTGCTCGCGATTGTGATATTTTCGAAACATTTCTTTGAACACTTGAAATTTCATGATTTACTCTAAGTTTATCTGTACTCACTTTCTTCCAAACTTTAAATTTAACATTACTAACGGAGGTGAAAAAGAATTTGGTGGGAAAATTTTCTCCTGCGTCCTCTTAACTTCTTATTTATGTCCTTTTCTTCGTCGAAACGCGAGGAAATAAATTTCCTCCGTTTCGTGACCCCGTATACGCTTTTCATGCAAAATAGATGTTTGTTTGCAGCTCATTACAAATGCACGCCCTTCATTGGGAGAAAAACATTGAACCATCATCTGGTCAACCAAACAGCAGGAATGATGGTTGAGATTCGAGATCCCAAGAAGCATATTCTACTCTCCAGAATGTATAGTGAAAGAGGTCGCTTCTCTTTCACATCTCACGAACCAGGAGAACACCTGATTTGCATGCATACAAAACAGCAGTCCATCCCAGGAAGAATGCTGGTATGTCAAATTTTGTGAACTTGTAAATTTCTTTGAGAAAAAATTGCCAAAAAATAATATTTTTTATTCCATGATTAAAAATAGGAAACTAAAACGAATCATACAATAATGAAAACAATTAAAGGGAAGGACAGATTTTTTTTTTTTTAAATAAGAACAAAATAAGTAACGCCTATGGAAGGTTGACTGAGTGTAAACAATAACAAGCTTCCTAAAACCGGAAAACACTTCCGGTGTATCCCTCCGCTTATGTTATGCTTACGAGGTGGTGTGTGAACAGGCGTAATATTCTAAAAAATTTAACTATTGTGATTTGTGTTTAAATTTGCGCGTAATTTTACCATTCATAAGATGCGGATTCGAGACCAGCCGCAACCCTGGAATATCTTTGCGATGGCCTTCTCTAACTTGAGCCATCTGTTCTTCAGCTTGACAAGAGCATGTACGCCTTGTCTGCAATAGATAGGTACTTTATTGACGTCACACTCGAGCTACACAATGGGCTGTTAGCGACGGTCTGGGAAATATCCCTGAGGATGATCTGAAGACATGCCATCGCAAATTTTGATCCTCTGTAGAGGGGATGGCTCCCCTGCTTTGGTAGCCCGACGACCTGCGCGTAAAGTCGAACACTTTACGGCGGAACAGTTCAACGAGGACCGATACCGCGCACCCTCGGTCCCTACGCAGGATGATCAAAGTGATCATCTACCCGTTTACTGACCGCAGCCAATAATGCTTGACTTCCGTGTTCTACTGGGAATAGTGTTTGTAGGATCAGTCCACTGCGGGACGTGTCTGCCATAAGCGCACAAATCTGCAATTATAAACAGGTAAAGAAAAATTAGATTAAAAACATATTGTGAAAAACAAGAGATTGTTTTGTGCCTTTTATTTCACACTGATAGAAATGTATCGTTATTTTTGCCACCACTTTTACATTTTTTTCAAGATGTCAGCCTGTAAAAGGTAATTTTTTTAAATAAAATATTGAATTAATTATTTTTTTTTTCTTTTTAGAGAGTGGACTTTGGCTTGACGCAAGGTGAGCATAGAATTAATTACACATTAACGGCAGAGAAAGAAAAATTAACTGACATTCACACAAAGTACAAAGAACTACTCGAAAAATCTGCTGAAGTGGTGAAAGAAATGGAATATCTGAGAGTAATATTTATTTTCTATATATGTCTGAAATATCCCTTATTCTTATTTTTTTTAATAATGTTAAAAATAGTCATTTTTTTCTTATTCCAACCCATATTTAAATAGTCATTTTAATGAATATTTCATGTCACGAAGAAAGATTCCAGTAATAGCGCTGAATTTAGTATTGTTCTCAATGAGGTCAATATCTAGTAGAATGTTGAAATTACTAGCAGTACCTACAGTTATATGCTTAATCGAAAAAATTGATGCTTAGTTTTTTATGTAATCGTTGATCTGGACAATATTTAAATCTGTGTGCACCTACCATTCTTCTTATAATTCTGCCTTCTTTATCGGAGAGTTTATTTTTATTCAGGATCGTGATCGCTGGACAAGCATATGTTAGGATGAGCCGAATAGCTATGAGATAAAACGTTCTTTTGCATTTTAAGTCAAGCTAAGAGTTGAGTTTTAAAACTAAGTTGAGGGCCCTATAGGCACCATTGGCTTTTTGATTACATTATTAATGTGCTTGTTCCCATTTAAATTAGAGGTGATAGTAATACCTAGGTATTTTGCCCATTTAGTTGGATGAATTTTAAAGATTACGGATGAATTATGAAGATAAAGGGAACTAATTTGGTTATAAAGTTATATAACGATTGCTATGGCTTGCACTTGCTCATTTATAAAAACGTTGATTTATTTGCATTTAGTCATAGACAAAATCATTTTAAATTAAATTTATTAATCGAAGAATTAAAAAGAAATTTGTAAGATTCATTACCACTTTAAATCTAAAAATGAGATACTATGGAGAATCTGTAGTTGTTGGCAGCTATGCAATATATTATAATGGTTTATGCGCTTCCCAGTGGTGTATTTGTATGATCATGTAGAAGGGAAATAATCTTCCCAAAACAAGATTAAAACATAATTTTTAGGTGGTTTACCCACAGAATAGCTAATATTACACTCGTATTTTCATAAAAGTATTTTTCCGGAAAATTTTTTTAAAAAGCAAACTTCTATGCGTTTATTTTATAGTTGCCCTTTTTAAAAATCTATTTTTTTCATTTATGTAAGTTGATTTGTTTCTTAAAAATTTGCTTTATTTTCAGTATAGAGAGGCTATGTTCCGAGATTCCAGTGAAACCATCAGCCGTAGAGTTCTCATGTGGTCAGTAGGTCAGACTTTTCTTCTAGTCCTAATTGCAGTTTGGCAGATGGAACGATACAAACAGTTTTTCGAATCGAAGAAACTGGTGTGAATTTATGAAGTATAAATACAACCGTCACAGCTGCCAACTTTCATTTATTATATTTGAAGTGATAACGAACCTCACGCTTAAACCGCTTCCTTTACTAACCAGATTTATCTAAACAATAAATAGCTGTAAGGAGAAAACTAAGAATTTTTTTGTTTTTAAGTTTTCTCGTACAGTTGCAAAAAATTAAAAAGTCAACTTAACTTTTAATGAGTAGGGAAATTTCAGTTTTCATTCAAACATGATATTCGCTGCTTTGACAATAGGCAGCACCGTCTTTTCATAAAATATATATTGTATCGAGCACAGAGGTTCGTTTCGATTGCAGATGAATGAAACATTTCCCGCAAACATTTATTAACAGAATCTTCCAGGAAATACAGCTATTTTTAGCTCTCAATTACAGCGTAATACAGCAAATCAGACTGCTCAATGAACTCACTAGAGAACCAGAACACTATTGCAGTCACAAGCAAACTAATAGTCCACTCTACAAGGCACACTCTTATTTATGTAGGAAATTCCGGTACTTTCGACATGATTCTAAATAATTCTCGTATATAATTCAGCGAATATTAGTCCTATCGCTTCGAAACTCGAATTTTCCTCCAGAACAATCATTTTATCACCAAGCATCACGAGTCTGCAAAAATATCGCCAAATTGAGTTATTTACTGTCTAAATTACGGTAGAATTACGCAACTATCTCGCAGATTTTCTAATTAAACTGCTTATTTTGTCTGAAATTTTAGCCTCATAGCAAAAGAATATTCACAAAATTATATGCATATTTACAAATTTGCAATAATATCAGCACCATATAACTTGATTAGCAAATAGTTTTAATATTTCTAGTGGTTTGTGTTTTTTTACGAAATAAGTTGTCCCTGATTGGGCATATTACATCGGAAAGGTTAAAATTTGTATATTATGTTTTGTTTCTATTCCTTATATTTAATAATAAAGAAAAAGAAATAAAATGATGATTTCTTTCTAGCATATTTTTTTTCTTCAAAAAACCTTGGAAGAGAATTGGTTAGTGTTTTAATAGGTTTATTAAAATGATTTTGGCCATCACTCTAAGAAGGTATTTAATCAAAACCACTCTTAATTAAGTATTTTTAAAATCTTTCTCGAAAATGAAAACAAAAAATTTTACACATTAGGGGCCGCAGATTAATTGTTAGCTGTGGGGGAAAAAAGAGAAATGCTATCGAAATCTGCCTAATCACTGTACAAAAAGCGACCGTTTATAACTGATATAATTCTTGGCAGAAGATAAGAGTGAGTCCAAAAATTTTGACAGTTTGTGACAAAAGAGAAAGAGGCGGTACGAAGAAATGTGACTTCTCACACATTGTCGTTAAAATTAAAACTTTTGAAATCATCAGATTAAATATTTTTATGTTATTAGTTTTCATCAGAGTAAGTACACGATTAACCATTATCGTTATTATGCTCGCAAATATCATTAAACACGTAGTTAAGATAAAAATTGGAAATCGTAATGTGAACGATAAAATGTGTTTGGTCTATGAACTACTAATAAATATTTATGTAACATAGCGTGACAGGGGGATAAGGTGACACTCTGTGACAGAGAGGTCAAAAGTATTCATTAAAAAGTGTGACATCATTTATGGACGGCACCGAAGGCGAATGTGATAAACCAGATAGGTTTGATTGCCCGAAAGACAGAAAGACGTTTATTAGAAACATCTTCAAGTTTTAAATCTCCAATTCAACCCGTCTCAATACACGCGTCCCCTGTATTGTGAGATTTCAAAGGCGTTTTACTTTTTCTTCCTTAGATAAAAACTCATTTGGAACTCCCAATGTATATGCTTCTCTTTATTTTAATTTTGATGAGGACTCTAAATATACATACTAAAGGTGGTCTTTGCGGAACACCATGTATATATATAAAAAAAAACTGGAAAATATAGAACACCTGTTAATCATACGACCACGATTTTATAAGACAAAATGACAATTTCTGTTTACGGTTAATGTAAAATCAATTGTTACTTCACTACCTCTACAAATAATCAATGAAGCACAAAAGTTTGTAGTTGTGCACTATGTATTTAAATGAAATATTTTAACTATGAAATGAATTTATATGTAAATAAAAATCACTGCAGTTAAACTTCTGTTTTATATTATTAATCTTTTGATTTCATGTATCGGCAACGGTATAACTTTTCAATTTATGTAACCAAATGTAGATAACACTGGTGAATAATACGGCAGATAGGTGAAATATACGAATGAATTGCGCCTTTAATGATAGAAGCATAAAATTTGGTACACATGTACAACATAAATGAAGCTTTAATTTCAGATGTGAGGCTATCTCAGATTTAGCTGATAACAATAGTAGTGCATTTGTATGACACTAAACATTTCATACAATAGTAAAGCTCTTAAATTGCCAAAATTATATGACTGTTCGAAAGTATAGTACAGTCAAAAATATAAAAAATAGATAACTTTTCACCTTTGATTTGACGAATTTTCATTTGTTATCATATAACTACTGATTTTATTACTTTCTGGTTAAGATTCTATCCAGTGATTGCTAATTATATAATAACAGGGTCGCCAACTACTACGTTTTTTGCAAAATATATTTCTGAATGGTAGACAGTTAAACACTAAAGCTTTTAGAATTTTTAGTAACTTTGTCAGCTTTTTAAGAGCTTTACCAGGAGAGAAATGTGTTCTGTTCGGTTTAGCTGGGCTCCTGAGGCCAAATACTGAACCTTTTCCCATTCATCATGAAATACCCATAATGCAGGGCTCGAAAAACCGCCCGTCCTCGTCGGTCAAAAATTTCCCGCGGACAACGAATTTCTCGAATCAGACGCCAGCGCGGACGGCCATTTTCCCGTTAATGTTCGTGATACACTTTCAATTTTTGTTATCTTACAAGAGTCTAGCGCCTCACTTCTAAAATGACCCTATAATCTAGAAATCCCGTACAGCAACATATTGCGCATGGTGGATTGATGTTTTTACAGCCTGGGAGTACTGCAGCAGTTGAAAGGGACTTTTCAGCAATGAACTTACAAAAAAACACATTACGTAAGCNAAAAAAAAAAAATAAAAAAAAAAAAAAAAAAAAAAACATTACGTAAGCGTTAAACGTAATTATGAACAACCACCTAAATGGAAAACCCCTTTCAGATTTCTGTTCAGAAACCTCTGTAAATCATAGACTTGACTGTGGAACTGGCAAATGTCATATTTGATTCATTTAAAAAACGCACTACACTCGGACAAATTGACATTCCAGATAACTTGATCTTTGTCATTTAAATTATTTCATGAAAGAAAGAAATTATTTCATAAAAGAAATGCTAGGTTTTACTATTAGTAACCTAGTATTTCTTTTATTACTGTATAATGTAATCCTAGTAGCTACTAATTCATTGTGTAATTTATATAAATGTTTGTAATAAATAAGAAAAAATAATATTTTTATTTATTTAGAAGCGACGGGTTAGTTTCAAAGGAGGACGAGTACATTGTTGGACAAGCCGTCCTCGGGGACGGGTAAAATTTATGAGTTTTTTCGAGCCCTGCCATAATGGACATACATAGTACTGTTTGTACTACTGGTTCAAATGAACCTGAAAATAAAAATAAAGCATATCATGGGTGATACGCCGGCATGATGGAAATGCTCCCTAGGTCTTTTTGGTTGGAAGCAGTGAGAGAAGTAGTGTAGCTACTTGATCGTCTTTCAGTAGTTCCTTAATAAGGCTTAGGAATTTCGCAGCATTACTGGGGGCATCCTGTGTTCTCCTAGTGAAGACTCTATGATTCCGCATTGGTCTGGCACCACAGCCCGTAAAACTGGCAGGGTGATCGAACAGAAATGTGTCCAAAGTGTCTTTTTTTATAAGCTTTCGAATCATNTCCTTAATAAGGCTTAGGAATTTCGCAGCATTACTGGGGGCATCCTGTGTTTTCCTAGTGAAGATTCTATGATTCCCCATTGGTCTGACACCACATCCCGTAAAACAGGCAGGGTGATCGAAGAGAAATGTGTCCTAATAGTGTCTTTTTTTATAAGCTTTCGAATCATTTACAGGTAGTGGTATGAAAAATAACTTTAAATCACATTTATAAAAGAAAGAATTATATATTAAAGCATATAAACTTAGCTACCACTAGAAGAAATTTTTCCAAAAAGCGTAGAAAGTTGGCATGCCTGTAATACCATAAAAAAATTGGTTTTATCATTGTAGACAGGAATGATTTTAACTCTCTTAGAAAATTGTTAGAAAGGTTGCATATCCATCATTTATACATAATGGTGATCAAAATCATTATAAATCAACTATCTGTGCAGTGCGCAAAAAAAAAANAAAAAAAAAAAAAAAAAAAAAAAAAAAAAAAAAAAAAAAAAAAAAAAAAAAAGATTTTAATCTGAATAACTTCCGTTTCAATAATCATATTTTCACGAACTAAATGTCAATCTTAATGGTTTTAGGGGACCACATCAGGAGGAATAATTTAAGATAACTATTAACAGCTAACGATGCAATCGACAAGAGAAAAATACTTAATGTTTCTTCGTTGCTAAGCAGCCAAGTTGAGACAATAAAAAAGAATGAAATAAAAGCTTATCATTCATTATTTTCAGTTAGCTAACGAAAACTTTTTTTTATTAGTTAATAGAAAAATATCTCGTAGTTTCTAATCAAGGGACATTTTTTGGACTCATTTCAGCCCAAAAAACAAAAGTTGTTTTCATTTTTATCCTCTTTTTAAAAAAAAAATATGAATCGATTAATAAATTATTTATGATTTTCCAAGATTTTAGTATTTGAACACATGATTTTTTTATATGGCATTATTTGCATCTTTAAACTTTTCAAATATAAAGATTTTATACGAAAACGAAATTTTCATTAATTATGTATACAGAGTTGTAGAACGAATTCCAAAACAGATGCAGAGTATCTGTAAGAGATAATAACTAAAATACACATTCGCAAGGTTTTATATAATTCATCATTTTTTTTTTTCAATAGTTGAAAAAATTAGTGAATAAACCATTGAAATATGTATGTTCAAGAATTTTGCATGATTCATTTTTTGAAAAAATCATTTCATGCTGTCAAATATGTGATTTTACGCGGCATTCTTTTAATAAAGATATTTTGCAAATAGCATCCTGATGTTTCAATACAGTATGACACGGATTTTCCTAAATTCGCCAAAAAATTTCGCTCAACATATTTTTGAAGTACGATCAACTATAATCTCCAAATATCGTTACTATAATTTCTTTGATTAATTCATTTTATTACAAATTTATTTCACGATTCTTACCATCACTAACAGAGCCCGCGCTAAGGATTTCAAATTATTAGCTAGTAAATTAGCTAAATATCAAAAGTATTTGCCAATTTTCGAAAGTCTTAGCCAAATGCAAATCTTCACAATTTATTAAAATTAATTTTTCTCCCATGGAAAACTGTTTTACGGTAGTTTGTTTCAGGCTTATATTATTTGGACCCAATTCTAATTGGTTATGCAGCGCATCGTCCGAAAATTATTGTAATCGAATAAAAAATACTGATTTGTTCACAGAAAATCATTTTGATGTAATTTTGAGGATCGAGTTAGAATATATTTTTTTTCAGTGGAAAAAAAAAATCATTCACCAAATCGCAATTTTATTCGCCAAATTTACGATTTTATCGCATTTGGTGAGGTGGCATGGTGGCAAATGCTTAGCACAGTTCATGACCATGAGTTGAGATAGTTGGTAGAAGAACCGAGCTCGCTTTATTCCTTCCGAAAAGACTCGCCACAGATACCAAGAAAAGGGCTGAAGTCAGGTGATAGAAAAAGTGCAATACTTGAATTATATAGATACAGAAATATATATTATTCTATGAAAAGAAGAATTTTTTATAAATATTATAGTTCTGCACGTTCTGAAATCACATTTATTCATTGGAATGAAGTAAGCAATGTGAACTTCGCTTTATTTTATAATGAATTGAAGATAAAAAAAAAGAAGATATTTTATCGTAATACGCACATCTGTAACAGTATACGATCACGAAATCCGAAGTTATCGGTTGTAAGTTTGTTAGAAGGAAAAAATTATTGACAAATTTTTCTTCTAATGTTGGGCCCGTTCTGTTTCCGAAAGATTTACCATTGTTGTGGGTCGTTTTTTTTCTTCAAGTTTTTCTGTCTTTTTCTTAAGGAAATTTTGCATCTTTTTTGCTGCTGAAAAGAAATAACGTCCTACTCTACCAATGATTCTCATATAACTAAAAGAAAAATTGATAAATGAAAGCCTGAAAATATGCTCCCCCCTAGAAGGCGTATTCAAGCGTTGCGATAGCGAATACAGTTATTACCCATGTATATTGTAATAACTGCATAAAACAACCGATTTAAAATTCAAGATTTTCTTTTGTTCCTAACAGGGCTTAAAATGTCAATTTGAAAATGTTGCCTTTCTTTTTTAAAAAAACATAAGTTCGTTTAAAAAAATTAATTTAATCTTTACGTTTTGAAAGTTTTATCACTGAAAGATAAAACAACTTGTAAAATTAAATATTTTGAAATAAAAAAAAAAAAGAAAAACTTTTTTTCTTTGCCTTCTCCGAAAAAAATAAAAAATTCTTGACGAATACCAGGGAAAAAAAAATTTTCAGTTTTAATATTTAAGAGATGCTTTGATGTTGCAGCAAATAGATTTGCAATACTTTAATCATTATTATTTATGCTCACCAAGAGACTGCTCAAGGTAGTACTAAATTTCCGGAAAAATAGCTTCGAGGAATAAAACAATTTTGCTCGACATTTTATCTAAATAAGAAATAAAATATTTTTGTACTATAAAGGTTTTCAGTGCCGAATAGAGAAAAAGTGTGTCAACTCTATGGTCCTGACTGCATACATATATCTGATACAATCGTCTCTTTTTAAACAGAGTTCGTAAGGTCCTTTAGAAATTGTAAGGGAAGCAGCAAAACTAAGACGAAAAATCCATTTTATTACGATCATATTCAGTACAACATTCAATAGTCAATTTTAAAGAGCCCTAATATCTGGTGACAAAATCACAAGTTTTGAAATTTTAAATTTAAAGATAACTTCATAACTACAATATAGATGTCACGGCTTTTCTTGATGCTTTAAGGGCTGCATGAACCTTGTTAAAATAGTAATATGCAGATGTTTGCTTCTAACAGCATTCTGTTCTGATCAACATAACGATCAATACCGACACGGTATATTTGATGGTAAAAATTACATTCTCTTAAAAAAATATAAAAACAGAAATAAAAATCGACAGGTTTCAAGTATTCAAAAATAAACTAACATTCTAAAGACTTGCCAGACGCGAATGAAGAAAGCAGAAATGATTTGAAACAGAAATTATGAAGTTGAGAACTAAAATTGAAAAATAAAGCTGGAAAAATAGCAGAACACTGTACTGTAAGAGTTTTCATTCCAAAATTATGGTAAAATAACCTCCAGCGATTTGTCCTACCGATGAGCCGTAAAGTTTCCGGAAAAGAATATTTTTTTCCCTATAAAGTTTTGAAACCACCTACAACCTAAACATGGTTATTAAACCATGAATGTAAAATTATACGGTTTTTTCAACCATTTACAACTAGAATGGTTTTAAATTCTTATAAAAAAAGGAAATTTAACTAGACATAGGAGCTAGGCTTTTCGTAAGGTAATGGACATTGGAGAACGAAGAACATAAATTTTGTAGTACAGAGCTTTGGAAACTTTTCATGTGTTGTAGCAAATTGAGGGAATTATGTATTGTCAACGCTGGGATTCGAACTCCAGTTCTGTCGGTCATGAGATTGACAGATTGGCTCTCTCGGCTACAACACGCACACAATTGCAAGGTACACAGTTTCAGGAGTTTATGAGCTTCTAATAGTTTGATTACAATCATATTTATGATTGCGTGATAGTTTTGTTTGAATATTGTAATATAACAGTTATATAAATTGTTATTTAACAATTTCTTCTGAGAAATTTCTAACAGTGTACCCGAGAGTGAAATTGAAATAGAAAATAAAAAAAATTAAAAGCTACGAAAATAGGAAAACTGCAGTGATCGAGAGAGGCAAATCGGAGGCAAAATGCGCTTCCTCGAGCTTAGGAACTAACGTCGTTAACAAAGGAATCAGCATTCATATGAATAATGATTCTCGGGTATCGGTATTAAGAATATGACAGAGGTAGTAAGAATTTTTGCATTATTGTTTATATCCTTTATATATATATTCATTCAGAGAAAATATGTTTTTGCTTCTGATTTAGCAACTTAATTAATAATTACCATATTTGAGGCCACTAACCAGAAACAATTAAGATTGACTTTTGTTGCTAGAAAATCCGAACATTAGATCCAATTTTTTCTCGCACTGTGCGCACATTAATTAAGTATGTAATCATCCAAGAACAACATTTAACCTCAAAAGCAAAGACTTTTTCAAAAAATGGATGGTGATTTCAAGATGATAATTTCAATAACGAAGTAAAGCATAAATAAAGCTTGGAAATCCTTTTAGAAAATTTCTAAATGCTTATTATTTTTCTTTATCTAAGCATGAAAGTAACTAATAGTATGAAGAGATTTGTAAAATATCAAATATCCATTCTATTATTTGATCCTGGTACATATTAAGGCGATATCGGGCAACTTCGATTTGGAAAAATTTTATTTCTTGTTTGTTGTATTATTGCGTACATAAAGCTTGGTAATTTTTTTAAATCTCTAGCACGTTAATTTTGCTCACGAAAGACAGTCAGAACGTTCGTTTACTTTCTCAAAAAATAAACAACAAATCGACAACAATCGTCAAGAGAACACACTGTTGGCTGGACAAATGGCCAGATCGGCGAAAGTTTTGCTAAAGGAAAGAGTACAGCGCCCTCTGCTCCAGAAATTACTCTCCGTTTTCGATTAAATCGATACTATGTTTTTTTGTTTAATCGATAACGAACATGCGGTTTGTTTCGTTCACTTTGTTTATATTTGAATGATTTGAACTTAGTAAATTGTTTAATTATGGGGATTAATCTTGTATTAATTGAATACGTTAAAAGTCCCTCAAGAATTTCTCAGATACCACTTTGAATTCAAAATATGTGACTCAGTCCATTGTAAAGTAGCACCGATAATGTGGAATTAGATTTTCAGATTTCATATTCATGTTTTTGTATTGATATAGAAGGAAAAGTTTCTTCTCTTGCACTAAATGTAAAGTTTCCAAAATAAGTTATTTAATATGATTAGAATCTTTAATTAATAATGTCGATCCTTATTACACCTCTGCCGTATATGCTAAACACATACATTTATTTATTTATTTTTAATTATTATATAAATTTAAAACCATACTTTATTTCAACTTGGTTTCATTATTATTATTATCATTATTAAGCAGGAACAAAAAGATTTCATCCTGAAAGGAAGAAAATTTTCATTATATTTTTATGGTTACGGGGTTATGATTACAAAAAAATCTCATTTTGGTCAATGTCTTATTTTTTTCTAAATCAAATCATTACTTTATGAACATGTTATTTTTTTCTAAATCAAGTCATTACTTTATGAACATGTTATATAAAATATTATAAAATCTCTGCTTATATTGCTGATAGGGAATTTTTAGATAAAACTAAATTTTTTTATTCAGAAAAATATACCCATTATGTTGAGTGTACACTGACAAAATTAAATTTGGAACTTTCGATGCATGTTTTAACTAATTAGCTTCCAAGTATCTGAAAAAGAAATTAATTAATAGAATATAGTGTTATCAATACTTTAATGAAATTAAAGTAGGTTTTAAACCTACTCTAATTACCTAACTACTACTTTATTAAACCTAATAAAACTTTAATGTTTTTATCATGAAAAAAAACTAATTATGGTTATTGCCTTATTTCTTTGAAATAATAAATAATTTTTTATGTAAGTCTCATAAAAATACTATGAAATCTCTCTTTGAGTTGTCACAGAATTGGTTAATGCAATTTCCAATTATCTTTCCTGAGATTTAGCTATTCTGTGTAAACAATGACAAAATTTAAATTTTTAATATATATATGTTTTAATTAATAAGGATCCGAATATTTAGAAAAATAATGAACCCTTTAAAATATATTAACATAAATATCTGAAAAAAGTAAATTTTTCTTGTTTTTTTTTGATAATAAATTAGACTTATTATGGTCGATGCCATATTTCTTTCAAAAATATAATTAACTGTTATTTGAAAGTTTTATAAAAATATTACACAATCTCAGTTTCATATTGGTGTTGAAGATTAAGAATGGTCTGTAAAACTGAGACCATTAAAATTTGACTCACATTACCATAAAATAATTATTGATGTGTTTTGGCGAGCAATTAATATAAAGAGATGGTATGCTGTTTAGGTTTTTTTAATTTTATTTAGTTCAATGCTTTGGTTTGAAATTTTGTAAAAAACTGGAATATTTTATCGGTAATTGTGACAGGGATTATAAATCTTTTTCATATACACTCCAACATTTGGGATTTGAGCAAAGTAATTTTTCCTTTGGTAGTGAATTAACTCAGAAATGTTTGAAACTTTTATCAGATCTTAAGCTCTTATGAAACTTTTTATCAGATCTTAAAAGCAAGAAGTATTGTCTATCTGATACTTATTTTATCAGTTTAAATCATTTGCATATAGTGGTGAACAATATTGCTTTTAATTAAAGTTTATTGAAATATTAATACAGTATACTCTCAATATCTCAAAGTTGAAGGAACACTAAAAAAATTTCAAGATAAGTACAGAACTAAATATGTTCAAAAAAGTAAAAATATATATTCTAAAATGTTACTCTAAAAATTAAAGTCATGAAAGAAGAATAATTATTATCAAATCTTTATGTAATTATAGCTGAATATAATTCTAAATACAGCAATTTTATTTTTAAGAAGTAAGACAATGACAATTATGCATAAAATCGAATAGAATTGGTTTGCAATGAACTTAGATTGTGATTCTTCCAAAAAAATTTTTTTCTATTTAAAAAAAGAAGAAAAATACATTACAAGGTTTTGAGAATATACCCTTTGAATTCAAATTAACATTAGGTGGATCTATAATGCCAAGGGGAAAAATATATTTTTTTGACATAATAAAGTTTTCAAGATTCAACGTTACTTTTGCTACCTTTAGGAAAAACATTATTTGAAATTATGAAACTTCCATAGTAGTTGGAAAGTGGTGCTTTTAGTTAATGGTCTTTCGTATTAAATTTTTTTGATTTCTATTCCTTCCTATTATTTATTGCATGAACTCTAACAGACATAAATATGCATTTTCATTAATAAACATCTAATCACTCTGAAAAATAATGAATTCTGAAAATATAATACTATCAGTACTTAAATAAAAAAGAAAAAAAAAAATTGTAACAAAAAAAACTAGACTTATAAACAAAGAAACACCCAAATATTCAGAAAAGTTAAATTGTAAAATGTATCTACATAAATCTCTCTCTAAAAAAAAAAATTACCAAAAGTTTGAAAGAATAAACTAGACTTATTATGGTCATTGCCAAATTTCTTTGAAAATTAAATAATTCCCTTGTGAAACTGTTACATATTTATAAAAAATCTTTATTCTTGTGTTGGTAATGGTAAACAGAATATTAAATTTAATGTAAGAATGTTAATTTACAGAATATTAAATTTAATGTAAGTTAAAAACTGTCATGAAATATTTTAGATGACTGATCTCATTCAGAATGTTCAAGATGTCTATAAGAAGTGGGAATCGAGAGGGGCTTCAAACTTTAACTCTAGGGGCAGTAGAGCACAAAGATCAGCTGAGCGCTGCAGGAGTGGAATACTATATTCAGACTCATCTTATAACCGGCCAAGGGATGGAAGATTCAGACAACGTACTAGAGCACCATTCCTGAAACTTGTAAGTAAAGTATATGAATTGTCAGTAATAGCTGTGATATTTCATTGTAATGGCACAAGGGTAATTCTGCCATTTATAATTGAATTATTATTATTTTTTTAAAATTATAAACTCACAGTTGCAGACAAAACATAATGTGTTATGATTGTAATACCTAGTTTTAAATTTTTAAAAATTTTTTTAAACTGCTGCTTGAATTTTTTTTTGCCGAGTTATATGCTTCTAAAGTCTGCAGCATTACTTGCTTCTAGAGTGTGCACCATTAACTCATGCCTGCAGACATAGCATAATGTGTTATGAATGTAATACCTAGTTTTTAATTTTTTAACTAATTAATGTTACTGAAAATTGGAGAAAAATATAAGTCTAAATAACAGAAAGACTTTACATAAATTATTAGAGCTGCTTGAATTTTTTAAACTGAGTTATATGCTTCTATAGTCTGTACCATAAACTCACAGTTGCAGATATAACATAATGTGTTATGAATCAGGGTGCGTAGCGTTTGTAAAAAGTACTTAAAGGTGCTTTTCGTGAGATTTCGTTTTTAAAAGCTTTTAAAGGTGCTTTTTTCATCTGGCGTTTTTTAAAAGTGCTTTTTTTCACGAAAATTTTTTTTTTCCTTCAGTGATATCTGGCGGATCCCCTGCATTTCACGAAAAATGGGGAGTTTGCTATGTAATCATTCACACGGACTTCNTGTCTTAACTATAATTATTAAAGCTGCTTGAAATTTTTAAACTGCTTCTCAAGTCTGTAAAAGTCAATGTTAAACGGCGCAGCTGCCCGAAATTTTTATAATATTTTTTTCACTCTTGAAGGCTTAATCAAATTTAGGTATTTTAATAAAAAAGGGTAAAAAAATAATCTGTATAAGGTATAAAACTTTTTGGCCAAGTTCGCATATTATATATATATTTGACCTGATTTACAGCCAAATAACAATAATTTAAATATTGCTTACAAAAATTTTGTTAAAAAAAAAAAAAAAAAAAAAAAAAAAAAAAAAAAAAAAAAAAAAAAAAAAAAAAAAAAAAAAAAAAAAANAAAAAAAAAAAAAAAAAAAAAAAAAAAAAAAAAAAAAAAAAAAAAAAAACTTTTTTAGAAATTATTTAATAAACTTTGCAGTGACATATTTATTTAGAATTTGTTATATATNTGAGTTCTTGAAAATTTTTGTAAAGTGCTTGAAAAGTTTTTAAAAAGTGCTTATTTTTGATTCAAAGATTTGGCTACGCACCCTGTGAATTTAATACTCAGTTTTTAATTTTTAAAAATTTAAACTAAGTAAATGTACTTAAAATTGGAATCAGTCTAAATAATAGAAAAACTTATCTTAACATAAATTATTAAAGCTGCTTGAATTTTTTAAACTGCTTCTGAAGTCTGTAAATATCAATGTTAAACGGCGCAGCTGCCCGAAATTTTTATAATAGTTTTTTCACTCTTGAAGGCTTAATCAAATATAGGTACTATTTTAATAGAAAAGGGTAAAAAAATAATATATATATATAAGGTATAAAACTTTTTGGCCAAGTTCGCATACTATATATATATTTGACCTGATTTATAGCCAAATAACAATAAGTTGAAAATTGCTTACAAAAATTTTGTAAAAAAAAAAAAAACTTTTTTAAAATTTTTTTAATGAACTTTGCACTGGCATATTTATTTAGAATTCATTATTTTTTTTACAAAATTACCCTAAACTCACTGGTTAATTTTTTTTTTATAATTTAATTTTTATATTTAAATAATTTACAAAAAGAAAGAAAGAAAAGAAAAATTCTGTTTACAATCTGAAGTTGAAATTGAATTTATAGGGATCACCCTGAGATCTTAAAAAATTATAGCTCCAAGTTGTTCCAAAACATCCTACTCATCATTACGATTAATTTATTGTTCTTTTTTGATGATAGATGTCACCACTAGTATCATCTATTTTCTCCCTTCTTCTCAGTAATCTATTTATAACTTCCTAAAACTTTTTCTCCTTTACAGCCTAAGTATGCTGGTCTTGCTCAGTTTAAGATGGCTCCCTGTGTTGCAGCTGAGAACAAACAGCGGCCTTTCATGGGAACTTGCTGTTCAAAGTGTCTTCCATTGAGCAGGGTAATAATATTCTTTTTTCATTTGTTGTTTATGCTATTCCTTCTTTCTAGATTTAAGAATTTTATTGCCTATGTCTGATAATATTTACTTTACTGTATTTTCTTTTCTTGGCTTAATCCTGAATTATTTTTGCTCTTCTGCATTTTTGAAAATTTTCTTAAATTAAGAAAATTTTTGAAAAAGAAAAAAAAAAAATCAGTTTTTTCCTTTTTTTAAGTTATGAAATTTTCTGGAAAGATTATATGTATTGGAAAGCCTGTTTCCGTAGAGATTGCATTAATATATAGAGCTTAAATTTTTCTCCTGGAGAATTATAAAATGCACTTACCTGACTTTACAAATATGTATAAAAAAATTTTTTAAATTTTTTTTCAGGCTTCTGTAACAGATGCAAGAGTTTTTTCTCTCAGTGTGTGCAACATTCTCCACATTCCTCATTTCCAAAGGTAAATGTTATATATATATTACTAATTGTTATATACATTATAGTTATCTTTGAAAGAAATTATTGATAATTCTTTATTTATTGCTTTATGCTTAAACTTTATTTTGTTATCTTACCTTTATTATTTTTGTTTCAATGTACCGAATGAACTTTTAGAAGTTATTTTGTAATATTAAATGTCTAATTATTGTAATTTAATTTTGACTTTTAAATTATGAAATTTTTAAAAGTCCGAAAGAAGCTTGTCTAATGAAATAGTATAATATTATATATACAAAATAATTTATCTTGAAAACAGACAATTTACAATATTTTTCATATTGAAAGCTAATCCTTCACAAAAATTTTCTTTTGAAAAAATGCAGCTATTGACTCCATTAATCCATCTTCTGCGTGTAGTTGGAGAGAAAAAAATACTTTTCTATTAACTTACGTATTATTTTATACTGAAACTTTTATTTCAGTGGAATCATAATTACCAAAATGAAGTGACAAATATGACTGACCAATATAAATACATAATGTTAACTACATTGATCATAAAAATATGCTAATTTTTTGCATCAATGGATCTTTTTACCAAAAGTTCAAACAGTTCCTTCCCTGATTAGTCATTTTGATTTATTTTTATAAAATATATGATTAATTTTACTTAATTTACCTGTGCAAGTACTTTTTTAGTACACTTCTAGTGCTAAAAAAATAGTTATTACTCAACTCATCTCAATAGTTTTATAATCCTGTTAGGTGAGAATTATGCCATTCATCTACTAATTTATTGCATTTCTTTTAGCACACTTTTAGTGCTGAAAATTACTCAAAAGTTTGTTAACTGGTAAGATACAAATTGTGTTCATGATTCAGATTGATTTTAATTCATTACTTAGCACATTTTCAGTGTTGGATATTACTTGTGACTCAACTCAATAGTTTTTTTCTCCTTTAAAATATTATGTTATTAATTCAACTTAATTTGCTTAATCTAGTGCATTTCTTTCAGTGCATTCTTCATGCTAAAAATTACTTATGACTCAACTCAATAGTTTGTTTTTAATCTTTAAGCTACAAATTATGTTATTAATTCACCTTTTACTAATATAGGGTTCTAGTTTTAGAGCATTTCTAGTGTGAAGTATTATGACTCAATTCATTTATTTTTTAACCTTGTAAGATATAATTTAAACTATTAATTCAACCCAATTTGCATGTTCTTGTATTTTTTTCTTTCTGTTAGAGAAAGTTATTGTCTAGGCAAACTAATAATTTTCATTATATTATTTCAGCTTAGATTTCAGCGTTGTGCTAAATATATTGAAGAGAAATAAAAAGTCTTCTTATCCTGATATTAGTGCAAATGTTTTGAAGTGTGAAAGGTAATTTATTAGCTGTGATTTATTGTTATCTAACTAAACCTTTTAAAATCACTTTTATTAAAATATTTAAAAAAAATTTAAAACAACTATTTAAAAATTGACATTAATTTTATTCACAATGATACATTATTATGCAGTCAAACAAGTGATTCTCAAACTCTGAATATTTGTAAAGTAAGCTTATTCCTCCTATTACTTAAAAACTGTACTAAGTTTGATACAAAACCGAATGAAATCTAAGTCATTCTAAAAACAAACAAGTCATTTTTGTGCAAATAAATGACAAAAATACATTTAACTTACACAACTAGAGTCTGATGCTATTAAAGCATTTATCTATAGATTGGAAATAGAAGAATTAAATTGTAGGCAATAAATAGAAATTTTCACTGACATTACTGTTAGTAGTAGAATATATATTAAAAATTATTTAATTCTATAGATGTTATTTTACTATTTTTGTACATTTTAAAAATGTTAATTGATTTTAGGCTACTATTTGTATTGCTTTCTTTTTCTATATGCTTATTATTCATGAATATATTTTTTTCAACTATTGTGAAGGAAATATATAACTTTATTTTGTAAATGTATATGCCGTAAACTAATTGAAAATTCAACTTTTTGTAAATTTCACTTACTTTTGCAAATAACCAGTCTAATTGAAGAAAATTCATGTGTTTTCTAATCTGTCTGATATTTTTGAGGCTTATTACAATCAGCCTGTATGTTTTTAGGCTATTTGAAAATGTTTAAAAGAATAACTCAGATTTAAATTGCTTAGGCATATTGCAATAAGCTGTTAATTAAAGTTTAGTTAAAGTCTTATAGACATTATTTGAAAAAAGTTTTAAAGATATTATTTGAGTTTTTAAAATGTATGTATATAACTGTTACATATTTTCAATCCAGTGAATCGTGGAATATCAGTTTATATTGAGCAAATGTTTAAAATTAAATATCAGCAAAAAATGCAGTTAAATATTTTTTATTCATATGCAGTAGTTGAAGTTTAAAGTGTCTTAACTATTTTTAGAATCATAGACTTAGGCAAAATATTTTAACAATGTTTTAACAGTAAATTCCACATGTTTTGCCCAAATCCAATTAAGGGCGTCCAAAACTTAACACGCATTTTAAAGATTTGATCTTGTTAATGTGATTGACTTTGTTAAGCTGATAATCTGTTTTTTTTTAAGGTAAACAATTAAAATTTTTAATTTTTAGTGTTCTTACTGCAATTGAAGATTCTGTTGAACTTACCTCTGGTACGTAGTAATTTTTTCTGAATCTGTTTAAATATCCATCTTTTATGTACATATTCTCGAATATTAGGAAGTATATTTTCTCATAATTGAATTCATCCATCAGAGGGATATAGAGACAGGGGGAGTTAAATAAAGACAATTAAATATTGCTGTAACTGATTTTATTTAATTTTCACAAAAAAATTCCAATCAGCAGTAGATATAAAATATACGGTCGATGCCTTATCAAAATTGGGGTTTATAGTGATTATGATTGCAGAGAAAAATAAACTAAAAACATTTAAATATGCTTTTAATTGTTATTAATTACTTTTATTTTCTTAAGCAAATAAGCCCTAATTACCAGTACCTTTTAATGCATGTGAAATATAAGGTTTATACCCAATCAAAATCGGAGTAAGAGCAACTAAATATTCTGTTCTTTTTTTGGGCATTGTTCTTTTTTAATATTCATAAATTCTAATCAACAGTATGTTTAGAAATATGAAAAAAAGTTTAATGCCCTGTCATAATGGGTAAGGGCTATTACTGTAGCATTTCAATAGATTTTCCGTATACTTTTTTTTTAATACATTTCTTTGTTTTTGCATAAGTTACATTAAGATTACTTTGTTTTTAATGAATTACTTTAACTTAAAATGAGTGACTAACATATATCTAATATTAAACTACATATCCAAAAATAATAATAATAATTGAATTTTATTACTTTAAATTTTTTAAATTCGTTCATAGAAGCTGTATTAGGTATCTTTCATTATCTTTAATAGAGCAAAGCCTTTTTTATAAAAAAAGGTTTAGTTTAAAATGTGTGACAAACTTATATCTCATATTAAACTACATATCCAAAAATAATATTAATAAAAATTTATTTCTTTAAATTTTTAAAAGATTTTAAAGAAGCTGTAAAATGTATCCTTTTATCTTCAAGTATCTTTAGTAGAAAGTGTCTTTAATAAAGACTATCCTTTTATAAAAAAAGGCTTTTTTTTAAAATGGGTGTTGTTCAACGGTTAAACATCCAAGGATCTAAAGTACAACTCAATCTTGTACTTTAGACCAATTTTCCGTATCTTTATAAAAAAAAACTTTTTGTTGAAACAGAAAAGGTTTTTTTCAATTCCAGTTTATTTAGTTTTTCACGCCGTCAGCTTTCATTTCCAAAAAGTTATATTAATAGACAAGCATGTAATGTATTTCTCACAAACGTCCTAATTTGTCTGAATTGTTAATTCTTCATTAAGAAATAAAAAGTTAAAATTGTTCAAAGGTTCAACAAACCTTTATATTTATTGTTATAAAATTAATTTTCAATTGCGATTAGGTGTTCATTCTTTCACGAATTTTTATTTCTTTTTCAGAATATGAAGAAAAAAGTTGGATGGCGAAAATTAAATGTGAACATTATAACAGAGTCAAGATCTTTTTAGATTCTATAAAATCTTCCATTTCCTCAATTGGTCTGTAGTGAGTATTTCATTTAAAATAGAAGCATTATTTCTCTAAATAACATTAAATTAAAATTGTTTTAATATTTTGACGTATTCTCATTGGTTAGATGTGATCATTCAAAAACAAAAACCCGAATATCTTTGGTTGTCATCAGTATAAATCTGATAAAAGTTTTAATGATAGTTACCCATAAAATATATATTTCACTCTGTTTAATGGTCCTTACCCCTAATTTTTATTTATCATTTCATCTTAATATTTTTTTCTAGTATTATTATCTTTTTTATTTTGGTGATGAATATGATGATAATTGCATGATATGAAGTAATTGCATGGTATTGTAAAGAAATTCAGATGAAAAATGTTTATGAATTAAGAAAGTATATAGAAAAGCTTATCATTATTCTGAGTCAGTGATTATCACTCAATCATTCAATTAGGTAAATCTATCTCTAATAGGTGCTTGAAAAATGCTTGGTATTTTAAAATGAACTTTACAGCTGAAAGCAAAAATATTAAAAGTTAAAAATTTTTTAATTAGCTTTTAAACATAATTGAATCGTTAGCTTCGCTAATTAAGCAAATATGTTTATATTTTAAAACCCTTTTGTAAATTAAAACTTTTAGCTCATGTTTAGTTAAAATTACAAATGTAAAATCAGCAAAAATAAAATATAAATGCAGTAATCAATTTAACTTTTTGTGTTTTTGAAAATATGAATTTGCAACATTATTTTCCCAAGTGTAGAGATTCCCATTTATGAAATCAACTGCTCTATAAAAATCAAACAATCTCAGAATGAATTCGATTTTAATGTAAGATGAACGCTGTATCTATGTTTGACAATTATCAGTTTTATATTCATCAAATGAAGTATTTTCTGCTCTTATCTTTACACATATGTCTTACATGCCTCTTTTAGTAATGGATGCAGGGATGCCAACTGCTCCAGTTTCTGCGAATGTTTTCATAAATTGGTAGCGAATTAAATAGTAAAACTTGAAAAGTAAAGATAATTACGCCCACTTCTTAAAATAGTCACCACGAGATCACTGCAATAAAGTAGCATTTCGTATGATACTTTGAATATTCGATATGTAGTGGTTGAAATATTACTTACAATTTAAAATGCAAAACTAAAAATTACTTACATTTCGTCACCACTAGAAAAATATTATTTTCAAAGCGGAGCAAGTTGGCATCTCTGTGGATGATTCAAGCAACTTTTTTCCCAAACAAGAGAATCTCTTTTTTTTAATCAACGCTATAAGAAATTATTCATAAAACTATTAAAAGAATTTAATCTTGAAAAATTTTTAAATTTTTCAAAAATTAGGAGATAATTTTTTTTTTGGTGATTAAAAATCTTTCATGAAATTAAATGTCGCAGAGAAATGAGTTTGACTGAAAGAAATGTTCTATTGTAAAAGCATTGCAAAGATGCAGAAAAATCCATTTTTTTTCCTTCAAAATATTGAAAAATTCTTTTTATTGAAGTTCATTATATGAAGGTTAAACTGGGTTTTAATGCACATTTATTGCATATTAGAAATTTATGGTCTTCATAAAATAGGGCATATGGTCTAC